TTGGCGAAACTTCAGCTGAATATGTAAAAATTGGTTTTGAGATCTATTAATGCTATTTTGTCATGACTCGATCAGTGTACAACATTTTGTTGGAACACATGATGATTTGCACTGCGTAGAGTCGGCAGTTAAAATACATTTTTACTTAACTACACCGATTTGGTCATTTTCCCCTAATCAAGTCTTCCATCGGATGAAGACAATTGTATCCTAAAAAAAAAGCTGCTGCGTGTGACATTGACGGAGGGCCTTCACTTGAAGTGGTCTTGTGTCGATAGATTATCTACTCTATCCAGGATAAGCTCAGTGCTTCAAAACACTGTATTTGCGCTGTTTTCTGCGTGAAAATCCGATATCACATGATTGTTCAGCACGACGAAACATTGGTTTCGCTATGTTTACCACTCGTCCTCGAGTCAGTCGTACTGCACCGTGTAGTCACAAATCACACCTCACTCGCCATTTCTCCACCTCGGCTCAGCATCACCAGCGGAATGCGACGAAGCAGCTTCAACAACTCTATCCTCTTCGATGCTCGGGGCACAGTTTTGGAAAACCATGAACAACAAACTTATGCCGTCGCAGCATGCGGACCTGACGGCCGCATCCAACTTGAATTCGCTGAAGGCGTCGCCGATATCCACCAATCTGCGCATACCGGCGATATTAACTGCCACACACACACACAACAGCTCGTCGACAATGCCGACACATATATACCTAATGCCGTCGCCGTCAGCAGGGCCAGCATTCAACGCCCGCCGGTCATGCGCATCTGTATCATCATTGTCGGAACAAGAGGAGACGTCCAGCCATTTCTTGCCATCGCGCAACGACTGCAACAGGACGGACACCGCGTGCGACTCGCCACACACGCCGTCTATAGAGACTTCGTCATGAGTCACGGCGTCGAGTTCTACCCGCTGGGCGGCGACCCGAAGGAGCTGGCCGCCTATATGGTCAAGACAGGAGGACACCTCATTCCCACCAAGATCGAGACGCTCACCAAGGACGTGCCGCGCAATAAGGAGATGATCAAAGAGATCGTACATTCCACGTGGCCGGCCGTCTCGGCCCCCGACCCGGACGGAGGCGGCGCAGGTGTACCGGGTAAGCCGTTCCAGGCGCAAGCCATTATCGCAAACCCCGTCTCCTACGGACACATCCACGTCGCCGAGCGTCTAGGCGTGCCGCTGCACATCATGTTTCCACAGCCGTGGGTGCCCACCATGGCCTTCCCACACCCGCTCGCCAACATGCCCTACACGGATGAGCTCAAGAAGACCAACTACCTGTCGTACAAGATGGTGGATCTGCTCATGTGGCAGGGAACCGAGGGCCTCATCAACGACTTCCGCACCAAGGTGCTCAAACTGCGCAAGATCCGCAACGGCGACGGCGGCCGAGACCTTCTACTGGACCTCCACATTCCGCACGCCTTCATGTGGAGCCCGGAGCTCGTGCCCAAACCGGCAGACTGGGGAGACCTCTACGACGTCATCGGCACCGTGACTCTGAACGGCGGATCCAATAGCTCTTACACACCGTCGTCAGAGCTGGAGACGTTCCTGGGCAGAGACGGTGGCCCGATCTTCGTCGGCTTCGGGTCCATGGTGCTGGCCGATCCGCTGGCCACCACCAAGATGATCGTCGAGGCGGCACAGCAAGCGGGTGTACGTGTGCTCATCCAGTCCAGTTGGAGTGATATGGCCGGCGACCTTGACATCCCGGACAACGTCTTCTTCATCGGCAACTGTCCGCACGACTGGCTCATGCCACGGGTGTGTGCGGTGGTACATCACGGCGGCGCCGGCACGACGGCTGCAGGTCTGCTCGCCGGCAAACCCACTTTCATCGTGCCGTTCTTCGGAGATCAGCCGTTCTGGGGCCACGCAGTGGTGAAGGCTGGTGTGGGTGTCAAGCCCTGTCCAATCGCGCAGTTGACGACGGAGAAGCTGCGCGAGGCGTTCGTGGGGCTCATGGATCCGGCACTGCGCGCTCGAGCACTGAACCTGCGAGATGTCATGCGCCGCGAAGACGGAGCTGGTGAGGCGGTACGCAGCTTCTATCGACACCTGCCGACGCAGGAAATGTTCTGTGACCTGGATCACGAACGGATTGCCACTCGCTGGAGCGTTCGTGATCGTCTGAAGTTATGCGATCGTTGCGCATTCATCGTGAGTGAGCGTCCTGGTAACGCGAGCAAGAAGATGGTGAGTTATCACTGCGTGGACTACACGGCACGAGGCCCGGACTCGACTCTTGCAGGTGCTTCATCTGGCACGGGTGCGTTTTTTCATGAGTTCGCTGGCGCATATACCGGTCTGGTGCGAGAACCTGTAAAAGGTTACTCAAAGAACGGCGTGGCAGGTGGAGCTATTGGTACATTGAAGGGTGTCGGTGGTTTCCTCGTGCGCCCGACACTCGGACTTGTACATTTTACTGATCGTGTTGTCACGGGCCACATCAATGCGCACCGAGAAGAAGGCGAACAAAAGCACTCGAGTATACTTGATCGTCGCTTCATGTCTGTCATCGGCGTACAGAGAGGGTTGGCAAACAGCCATACCCCGTCGACGGAGGCTAACTGTGTTGACAGCGTGATCTTCGCCAGCCAGAAGAAGCGCAAGAAAATGCTCCACAGCATTAATAACCAGGCGGGCAAGTATCGTGCGAGATATCAAGCTGCGTTGAACCTTCGGAGAGAGCAGAGTGCTCGGCTGACCGGGGACAACCCATTATTCCCAGGTAGCTCAAAAAGTCCGAAGCATCCGTCGTGTACACAGACTTCTCTTTGGCACAACCAACCTGGTATCAAACTGTGCAAGGCTCGACTCACATCGCATGGGTCAGTCGATGTGGAATCCCGCGTCCCAAACATTGAGGACGACTTCATTGACAAAGACAGTATTGCTCAGTGGAGAGAATTCGCAGCGTTCCAGCACGGCAAGGCGCTGCAAGCACAACGAACAAATTCGAACATCAGACCACTCGTTCCATCCATGAACATTTGTTTGGCTGCCATTGGCACGTGGGATAACGGCATCAAGCAGTTCGCTACTATCGGATTGAAACTTGCCGCGCACGGCCACCGGGTGCGTCTGGCTGCTAATGAGTGCTTCCGACCCAAGATCGTCGCACTTGGGCTTGAGTTCTATCCGCTGGCTGGTGCACCCGACAGCGTACAAGACTGTGCGCAATTGATCTACAACGCCCAGCTCAACACTGAAGCAGGTCGATCAGGCTTCGGAGCACTTCAAGCCTTTCGCGAACTTATCTACTCGCTCTGGCCTGCCGCGTACGGATCAGATCCACACGGCAGTGGCCCCAACAAACCTGGCGAGCACTTCCGTGCCGACGCATTGCTGTGGCACCCGATGCTGCTCGGACACATACATGTGGCACAGCGTCTTGGTATCCCGTTGCAATGTGCCAGCCTCGATCCACTGTCTCCCACCTTCGAGTTCCCGCACGTGCTGAGCTCACTGGCAGGGCGTGAGGCAGCAGCAATGATGACTCCTCGATACAGCAACTTGCTGTCGCATGGTGTCGTCGATGCAGCCTTGAATCACGGCAGCGTAGCCGATGTTCTGACCCAATTCCGCTCGTTCATCGGACTCACGAGCGGTTTGGACCGACCGAACCCGCTCGTCCAGTGGGAAGTGCCGCACATGTACTTGTACAATCCGGTCATGCTTCCGAAGCCTCTGGACTGGGGTGAGGAACTCTCCGTGACTGGACACGTGACGTTGCAAGACGGTCTAGAAATTCAAGAGATACCGCGAGCGTTGACCGAGTTCGCGTCCTCGAGTAGTAACGAGCCGGTCATCTACTTCGGTGTGTCTACGCGCGACTTGCCGTTCGGTGCGTTTGAGGATCTGGTGCGGAAAATTGAGCTGGCTGCTCAACAGCTTCGCATGCGTATCATCGTTCAAGATCAAGAGGTAGGTAGCACAGCTCGCTCTCCGTATCGGTCCGAGTTTGTCTATCTCGTGGATACAGACCTGCCGTACGCGCAGCTATTCGCTCATGTGACTGCTACGATTCACTGGGGTGAGCCCGACGTTTTGGCTGAAGGGCTCATGGCCGGTAAGCCTGTTGCCGTCTGCGGATCACACCCGTCACAGCTCTTTATCGCTCGCCTGTGCCAGCGCGTTGGCGTGGGAATCGCGCCGATCGACCCGACAACCTGTACAATTGAGTCTCTGCTGTCGAGTTTCCAGCAACTGCTTCAACCAGTCATCCGAACCAACGCGCAGGGCCTGGTACGCTCGTTCGACCCGGACCGGGCCGTCGACGTTGCTGTGGACTCCTTCTACTCCCATCTGCCGCTGGAAGCGATGGTATGTGACGTCGATCCAAGGAAACTCGCTCGCGTCTTCGACTCGCAGCACACAGTCAAGTTGTCACTCGAAGCGTATTTGGCGGTGCAACCTGTTCGAGACGAGAGCAAGGGATTTGTGCCATACAAACCGCTGCACTACGATGGCTTCTGTCCACCAGTATTCTCGATTTGCGGCAATCCAGGCGAAATTCCACGCGACGTGAAGCCGTCTCGCAAATTGGACGCCATTGGAATGGCACTCGAGGTGCTCAACGCGCAGGACGAACGTCGCTCCAGTGAACTGAGCCAGCATTCATCGGACTCCTCCTCCGGAAGTATCGTGGCCCAAGTAGTGGACACAGAGGTGTTCTGGTCTTCGACGGAGCAGGAAGAAGCCGTTCGAAAGGCGACAAACGTAGCCTATGAGCGTCTTGTGAAGCCGGATGGCTTGCGAAAGCGTGACAAACTCGCTCACATGTTCAGTGGTAAACCGAAGACAGGAGAGCTACAAGCCGTAGGGTGATTCACCAAGGCGAAAGCAAATCAATAATAAACGTAGCACTTGGCTGGATAATCAATCAAAATGGTATACAGGTACCCGTTCAACCGCCCATCTTTAACGAGCCGAACACCTAGCACAAGAAAACATGAGAACCGCGAAGCTAAAGCACCTTCGCCTGCGACGCTGGACAACATCAATTGATCGATGTACAGGACATGTGCATGGCCCGTCACAAAAGACTTTCGTGGTGGATACCGCATCATCAAGTCAGCAAGGTGGCCACGTGCGTCGACCCTCTTATGCGCTTTTTGGGAAGGTCTCCGTTAAGCTTGCCTATCGTTCACGTAGGAACTTCAAGTTGGGTGTTGCTGCCAATGCGTGCGTAAGCAACCCGCGTCGGTGTTGGGTTGCCTCCCGTCGCACTAGGAATCTTGTCCTTTGCAGCGAACTCCATTCTTCAATTTGTCTGGTGTGAGACAGCAGAAACGTCCGCCAGCTAGAAGAAACCGCAAGACCGTCGCAATGCTCCCGCGTCTAGCGTCTGCACTATCAGCGATAGCGATCGCAGGCTCTAGCACGTCGCCAGTCAGCGCCGCCACCACTGACTACCCTCTGGGGCCCTTTACTGTTAGCGTCGACACGGATGGGTCGTCTGTAGAAATTGCCAACAGTGCCGGAGACCAAGTCTGGAAGTGTAAGTCGTGATGAATGCGTCGACCAAATCACGTTTCTAAACTGTGTCTTGCATTTGTTATAGCTGCGTCGGACCGTACCTTCATTTCAGCGTCTTCGGGCCTCACAACGATCACGCAGGCGTCGGGAAACTTCCAGTTGAGCAGCGAAAATGTGGGAGCACCGTGCCAGACTGCTACAATTTCTGGTGTAATTTCATCAAGCTCCGACCGTGTTGACATTAGTGGCTCATTCGGAGATGCTGCTTGCTCGGACTGGACGTGGTCGTTATCGTTTGCACTGGAATCGTCGAGTGGCGATGACTCGCAGCCGTTGGTTTTTAATGCTAGCGTTGTTGGAGACAATGTCGACAACGTTTACATCGCCTACGAGTCGCCAAAAGACGAGTCCTTCTTCGGTCTGGGTGAACAAACGGGAATCGGCAATCTTCGCGGGTGGCGTGTGCCGGTATGGACTCGTGAAGGCGGCGTCGGCCGTGGCGAGGAACCCGTCACCACGTATCTCAATGAGAACGCCTCTATCTCGGGGGCCTTCGCAGGTGGTTCACTGCTCACGACGTACACTGGTGTGGGCTCTCTCACGTCCTCGCTTGGCCGTTGGGTCGTACTGGACGGAACCAAGTACGCTCTCTTTGATCTAGCGAGCAATGCCACCTCGGCGTTCGAGGACACTGCGGCTGGATATCTCGCCGGAAACATCACGGACGGTGATCACGCTACGGGCTCGACTACGACCTTGGAGATCATGTACGAGAGTTCCAGTCTAAACGGCTGGCTTGGTCGTACTGCCACGGGTAACCCGTTGCTGGAGGCGACGAACGCGCTGACGAAAGTCACTGGCCGTCAACCGGAGTTGCCTGATTGGTCTCATGATGGAGCGATCTTGGGCATCCAAGGTGGGCAGGACTTCGTGGAGGAAGTCATTCAAAATGCACTCAGCGCGAACATGCCACTCGTGAGCGTGTGGCTACAGGATTGGTCAGGTACACGGCTGCAGACGGGTGCGTACGGCATCTCACTCCACCGACTTTGGTGGAACTGGGAGCCCGACACGACATTGTACCCGACGTGGGCCAAATGGGTACCCCACCTGCAATCCACGTATGGTGTGCGTACCATGAGCTACATCAACACGTTCCTCGCCAACGTGAGCACGAAGAGCACGGGATACAATACGAGCTTCTATGCGATTGCAGCCAGTGAGGGACGCTTTGTTGCCAATGCCACGGCTGGCGATGGCAGCGCATGGACTATCACCAGCGGGCCTGGAATCGACGCTGGGCTGCTGGATCTGTCAAACCAGTCAACGATTGACTGGTTTAAGGAGCTTGTGAAGCAGCAATACTACTCGGTGCCGATCTCCGGCATGATGCAAGATTTCGGCGAGTATCTGTCTGTGGACGACTCGGTCAGTCTGTCCGGCGGTACGGTCAACTCGCGCGTTTTCCACAATGACTACCCGACCGTCTGGGCAACACTTCTCCGCGATGTTGTGACTGAACTGGGACTGGAGAACGACACTATCGGCTTCCACCGTAGCGCTGGTACCTTTTCAGCCAAACACACGAACCTGTTCTGGGTGGGTGACCAGAACATTGACGAATCTCGGGAGGACGGCATGCGCGCCGTTATCAGCAGCACTCTTCACGTGGGTGCCTCGGGTTTTGCACAGACTCATTCTGACATCGGTGGCTACACGAATACATTGGCCACGGTAGGCAACATCACTCGTAACGCTGCGTTGCTTGGTCGTTGGGGAGAGCTCGGCGCGTTTAGCGGTACGGCCTTCCGTACGCACGAAGGTAATATCCCTCAGATGAACGTCCAGGCTTACACGAACGAGACGACGCGAGCTTATCACGCCTACAATGCTCGTTTGTTCCGAAGTTTGAAGCCGTACCGGTTGGCTTTGCTGGAAGAGTACCAGATGAACGGTTGGCCTCTCGTTCGCCACCCGATGGTGTATTCGCCAAACGACTCGGTCGCGAGCACCGTCATTGATGAGACTTTCTGGTTTGGCGAGGCTCTGTACGTGGCCCCCGTCTACGATCTGTCAGCTTCCAGCGTCGAGGTGTACCTTCCTCCACTTCAAGTCGACAGTCACGGCGCAGCGGTCAACTCGACGGCCTTCACGTACAAGCACTTGTGGAGTGGGGAGGAATATGCACCCGGCCAGACTGTCACGGTTGATGCGCCTTGGGGTGAACCGGGTGTATTCATGCGCTGGCCCGTGACTGAGAAGGAGGGATTGCAATTGCAACAGCTTTGGGAGTTCGTTGTCGCCGAAAACGCGACCATACTCGAAGCGTAGTATCGACACTTCTGTCAAGACCTTGACTCGACTTGAGTCATTTCAGGGCAACGGTAACGGGCTCGTCTCGCTGGTTTGCTGTGAATATATTTCGTGTACGGTAAACGAAACTACGTCGGCACATGCGCGTGTTCTTCTGCTCGCGTTAACACTCACAGCAAACAACGAAGCTAGCCATAGTGTCGCCAGGCCTGTTCAGCTGTCTCTGAAATGTTATCCTAAGACATCATTTACAAACGCACGAGCACGCTGAGTTTGATGTTCCCCCGAACCAAACTTGATACATGTAGTGACCGGGTCTTCGTTTGTGGTGCTTGAAATGCAGCCTCCATAAGTTGCAGGAGTTTTGCCCACGTCCATTTAGCAAGACAACCGTCCGTCGATAGCTGTAGGCTCCGACCAACCCGCTCGCAACGTCTCACAGGCGGCATGCCCGACGGGCAGCCCGTGGCTTGAGTCTCAGTTGAGAAGCAGCGGCGAGTATTTAGCAGAGCTTTCCACGCTTCGCCTTCAACAAGACCATGTACTGCCGCCACTGATTGGCTGGCGGCTCAACAATTTTGCCAGTCGGTTCAAGACCACACGTCAGACGCTTTGAAAAGTCTCCGCAACCTGCCGCCCTGCCTTCGTACAGCAGACTTTCCCTCCCCATCGCGACAGTCTCTCTTGACGTCCTACTATCGGCTTGGTGAAGTTGACAGAGCTGAACGGCGTCCTGGCTGAACGGCGTCCTGGCTGAACGGCGTCCTGGCTGCCTATCGTTCGTGTGAGGTAATCCGGTTAAACAGTCATAACGCGATCAGCCCACATTGGCGAGGAACAACTGGACTTTGACACGTGCGCAAAAAACAATTATGATGAACGCCGGTGGAGGCGATCTGCGTCGATACGTGCGCGCCAGCGACCGACGGCTCGCCGAGGTGGCGGCACAGGCTGCGGCTCGCATAGACCTAGAAACTTTGAAGCACCGCCGCTCAGAAGCCGCGGGCGTGACCACTGAGCGCTCGATTGACGGTACAGTGGTCACGGCAACGTCCGTCATCGAGTGTTCACTCAAGGAGATGCAGGCGCTGCTGAACCCTCCCACGAGCGACCGTTACGCCTGCGTCATGCGTGAGCTGGTCGGCCAGGACTTCATCTACGGCTCCATCGTGCACCACGCCGAGGAGATCACGACGCAGAACGTGTCGGTCCGGACGGCCACGTTCGTGAAACGCCACATGCTGGCGCGCAACGAACAATGGTGTTTCGTCAGTGCGGTCAAGTCGTTGGAGTCGTGCTACAACAACGAGGCGCAGGGGTTCACCGTCACGCTGGCATCGCTGCATCCGGACGACGTGTTCACCGGCAAGGCTCAAGCGGCCAGTGTGATTCATATTCAGGGACTTTCGGCGCTTTACCTCGTCACGGCTGAGCCACATAGGAAGGGGTGGCAGGGCAGAATGAAACGCGCCGTCCGAGTCACATTTTGCGCGCACGTGGCATCGATCCCCGGCTCAGGTAGACCCTCTCCGTTCCGGTGGCTCATGATGGCGAGGAATCGCGAGGAGGCAGACGACGCGTCGAACGGGGTAGTACTGGGCCGGGTCGTGCAGTTGGCACGCACACTCAAACAGTTCAACGTCGCTGTGCGTCGACGACGACTGGATGCACAGGTTCTCGCTGATCTGCGAAAGGTGCAGCCCAGCAACTCCCGTTGCGCGTGCTGCACGCGCCGCGTCAAGGTTGGTAAGAGTCTGTTCGGCGGCAAGAGAGGAAGCACGGAAGGGAGGACGAAGGAAGACGCGCGTGGCCCCAAGCGCTGCCAGCTCTGTGGCTTTCTCGTCTGCGCACGCTGTGTGTGCACAGTCGGCAGAGGCTCGATGTCGGACGAGTCACTAGCTTCAAGCAAGGGTATCAAGTACAGCCAGACTGTACACTTGTGCGAGCATTGCATGCAGCGCGTAGATGACGCCGACTATGACAGCTACTGCGCTTCGAACGGCAGTGCGTCACCGTCCAGTGCTATTCAGCCTGATAGCCCCGGGGCTGAGCCGCCCAGCGCCGTCATCGCGCGGGTACTGAGCGAGGTACTTGGTGACGCTTCTCAGGAGGAGAAACCGGTAGTTATTCGGGTCATCAAGCACCTGCTCAGTCCGAAACAGGAGGAGAAAAGCAAGTTTCGTGCTGACTCGGATGAATTGGCCAAGAGCTTGGGTCGATTGGCGGAGGAACAAGGCTTCTCGGACGAGATTAAGATGAAGGACGTTACGGAGACGAAACAAGCTCCTGAAGACACACCAGAAGGCCCCATGACACCGAAGGATGAGGAGAAACCTCCACTAGCAGGCACTACAGGTCGTCAGTACGCACTGCAGTATACGGATATGATCAACGATGCTGATGATGATACTGACGATACCGACGAAACTGAAGATGCTGAAGACGTGGACGACGCTAAAGAACTCACCGTTATATCCCGTCACCCCGTACCGGCGGATGAAGCCTCCCGGTTGCAGTGGCTTGACACTCACCCGAATATTATTTCGCACGTAATGGATCTCCCAGATCTAGAACTGCTGTGCAACATCGCACGCGGAGAGCTGCAGTGTGACGCGACACTGGTCACCATGTTTGGTCCAAGCGCGTGCTACGTCGTGGCGTCCACCGACCCTGCTTGGCGAGGAGCCCAACTCCCGCGTGACCATGCCATTTGTGGCCACACTCTTATGACTGGAGAACCGCTGCTTGTCCGACACCCGGAGGCAGACGTACGCTTCACTGCGATGAATCTCGTGCGTCGTGACGGTGTGCGCTTCTACTTCGGGTTTCCAGTCAAGATCACGTACCCGGAAGATGGAGGCACAACTGCAGTCGGAACGTTCTGCTGCGTCCACGCCGGTGAAACGCGTGATGTGTCAGAATCTCAGTACGCACTTATGGCTACGCTTGCTGAAGGCGTGAATCGAGTTATGGAGTGCCGGGCGTCGCGGTTGTTGGAGAGCTAGATGTCGATGGATGTGTCTCCTGTAAATGACAAAAGTAAATTATATCAACAGTGGTGAAGTTCCGTTGCACCAGCTTAGTAGAATTCATGCAGAGCCGGTAGCTGGTGAGCATGACGACGAGGTCCCAGTTATTTTCTAGCAAGATTGCAGATGAGCTCCAACTCCGGTAGGTTTCGTACTTCCGTGAATCTAGCTCGTTGCACAACGCCAAGATATTTCAGTTCCTTGTCAGAAATGAAAACAAAGAGCGCCGGCACTTGAATCACTATAAGCCAGGGGGTTCGCTCTGCCACTGGTCCGTGCGAGTAGACAGCCAGACAGGGGGCACGCAGGGTGACTGAGTGCTAGCAAGCATTCCTCGCGGTCAACCGCGACTCGGCTTCCGCTCCTCTTCGACGATATACTTGATGACATTTTTCATAGCAGCAGGCTCAGGCTATGAAGTGTTCACGAGAATATCTCGTAGCAAGCGCATGAGCACTTTGGTAGCTGCTTTAGACCCCGGAGCATTAATGTGGTCTGTCGGGCTCCAACGTATCACTGTTGTCCGCCGGAAACGGAGTCGTACAAGGTGTCATCCACACGCTCCATGCAGTTGAAACAGGCGCGTACGTTAGCAAATGCGTTGTTCTGAGAATGTTGTGCTTCCTGACGGACGAGCAATTCATCGTACCCGCAGAGTTTGCATTGGTAGTACAAGTCATCACCTCAGCTACGTACGCGCGGAACTACCAGTCAGCGCAATTTCACTAGCAATCACTGTTTTTTTGTGCTACAACTAATCTGTCATGCTCGTCCATCCACAACAGCAGCAACTACCTGTAAGAGTTAGATCAACATAGCATCATGCTATCATGGCAAAGGCATTCACTTGACTACGTGTACTTGGGTACTGAAACGCACTCAAGCTGTCCTGTACACAATCGCTACACAACTGAGGTGGTGGCATCTGATTGGTCCCTTTCGAGCTCCCCCAGTTCAACGAGCTAATAATACGGCACGTACGATGGACTTCCTGCGTCAGCTGGCCGCCGACCTGCACGCGCTGCGGGCCGAGGCCAAGCGCAAATATCCTGTGGTGAAGGAGGCCGTGGACCGCGCGCTGGAGGCGCTCCCGGCTCTGCAGCAACAGTACGCGGCGCTGCTGCGCGTGGAGGGGCGCGCGCCCGGTCCGGGTCATAGTCTGTTTCAGAGCGAGAGCGTTCTGCGGCCCTTCCTGTTGGCATGCAACCACACAAACGCCTCTCACAAGATCCTGGTGCTAGCACTGTCCAGTATCCAGCGCCTAGTGAGCTGGGACGCCATCGAACCAGCCAGTGTAGGCAGCATCCTGCGCGTCCTGCAGATCCAAGCTGAGAAAAACACACACGCGGATGTGCAGGTCAAGCTGCTACAAACTCTTCTGCAGCTTATGACATTGGCATACGAGGAGAAGAATAAGAAGCAAGTAAGGACGCAGGACGGCCAGACTCAGATCCCACCTCCAGGTCAGATATTGTTTTTTTTTATTTTTATATGTTTGGGTTTTATTCATGATATATGGGTTTTATTCTGCAGATAGCGAGCTCGTGGGCAATGAAGATATGGTCATGCAGGCCGTGTGGATCTGTATCCACCTGCACGCCACCAGCAGCAGTGCCAGCTCCATGGTGGGCAATACAGCGGCCATGACGATCCGACAGATAGTATCCCTTGCATTCGGGAAGGTAGATTCCAGTCCAGAGGCCAAACACGTGGGCGTCCTATTATTCCAAGAGTTGTGCTTTATGAGTCGAGAGGAGAACGGGATGTGGTTGAAACGTACAGCCGTGTCACCCATGAGCGCCGCTCTGGGGGTTGAGTTACTGGAGACGGTGTTGGCGTCACACTATGGATTATTTCGACTAGATATCGAGTTCAAAGCGGTGTTGAAGCAGCAAATGACTCCGTTAGTGCAGTCAGTGTTGGAAATGGGCTGCAACGACAAACACGGCGGGTCTGCAGGCTCGGGAATCATGGGACCGACCAACTCGTCCATCACCAGCAGCAACACGAACGGTGCTACAGGTCCGTTCTTCCCGCTGCTGGTACGTGGCATGCGACTGGCCAGCACACTGCTGTGTCACTTTGCTGATTGCCTGGATAAAGAGTGCGCTTTAATACTGCACGCTCTGCTGGAAATCATCGCGACCGGGACGTATTCTATCCAAGAGGCGTCAAATGTTAGGTCTCCGCCCACACCGTCGAAGTCTCCGGACTCGAAATTTCACGCTGCGAACGCTATTGCGAATTTCAAAGAAGCCAAGAATTTCCTGACACACTCGAGTTCGTCGAACGCTAGTACGTCCAATGCAGCCAGCGGCTCCGGAGGGGTGAATTTCGTCACGTGGCCTGTGCTGTTAGCACTGGAAGTGCTCAATCGCGTGTGTCTAGAGCCAGATATGGTGGCAGCTATGGTGAGCTACCCGGACGGTGTGCTGGTTGCCATCACACGCACGACGTCGTCGGTGATCATGACATCGCCGCCGTCAGATTTCAGACCCCAAGGCCCGGACGGAGCCACGCCACGTTCAGGTCTCGAGCTTCTGAATGAACAAGAGACGCCCGTTTTGCAGCAGTTTTTCATGGCTGTCCGAGTGGCTGCTTCGTGTCAATGTAACATGGCTGCGTCGGTGTTTGAGCTGTCGAGATCCACGGACAACGAAGAGATATGCGAGAAGCTGGCCAAGGCGTGTGTTGCCGTGGTGGCTCCTGCTGTAGTCCAGTCTATGAATTGTGTGATGCGGCACTGTCGGGAAGTGGATCTCGTCACAATGTCTCTCAAGTCGTATCACGTGTTAGCCACGGTGGCGTCGCGGCTTCGAGCGAATATGCAGAGTCAAAGTGCACGAGAAATTTGGTGCAAACAGATGGATGAAGTGGTGCTGACTTGTTTACGTGCGTTATGCGGGTTCTCGTTCCCTTTACCGGAGGGAATCCGAGGCAACTCGAAGGGATCGGTATCAACCACGGGCTCTGGGAGTAGCGCATCCAACGACTACCCGGACGAAGCAACAACGGACGACGGAGAGAGCTGTCTTGTGGTCATCAGTTGGCGTGAAGTGCATGCGATGAAGGCGCTATTCGGCGCTGCACATGTCATGGAGGAGGAACTCTCGCAGATCGAGTGGTGTGTGCTCTTGGAGGGCTTCGAAATCATCGTAGGACTCACAGACCCCAAGCTGAAGAACGGACAGCAGAAACTCCCGACCAAAAACTACCGAATCAGCGCCTTCCGGATGGAAAACGAAGACGTGGAACAGCAGCTCGTGATGCTCAGTAATTCGATCGTGGATTTCTTCCGTGATGCGTTGAAACTGAGTAGTGTAGCGCTACGTAAGCTGCTCGCTGCTGTTCGAAGGGTATCATGGGAACAAGTGGGTCTGCCCGTGCCTAACAGAGACGCAGAATCTACGCTTGACTCCACTGGATCAACTGACGACTGGACGCTAGTGGACGAGGGAGACACACCCAGTCCTGCTAGTAATCATCACATGAGGATCTACCAAAGCTACTTGGGCGTGGGACTCACTGGCTCAGGCACGTTCATGCCATGTTTCGCGTTACGGATGCTCACTCAGTTGGCGTCAAGTAGTAAACGCTGCTTCGAAGAGGTTATGCGGGAGCTGGTGCTTATGAGCACGTTCGTGCCTCAGCCTCCACTCACAGCAGCGCAGTTCCCTCAACTGAACCAGTTCCAAGTCTTCACGACGGAGAGCATCCTTCAACTCATGCAGAACGCCTTGCAAAACGTCGTCAACAGCGTGTCGCCTACTGCGAAGCCATCGATGGAGGTTCTGGATGCCAGAAACGAGCAGAATCCAGTATCTCCGCACGTGTTTGACCAGCAAGAGCTGTTTGTACCGCTGTTAAAGCTGGCGCGTTCAGACATGAGAGACCGTACACTGACCGGGATGCTGGAGATGCTCAACGCCTGTGGCCACCTGATTAGCGCTGGATGGCCGTTGATATTATCTGCAGTGCAGGAAGCGTGTGAGATCGGAGACGGCAAGACGCAGGTGCTGGCGTTCAAGTGTTTGCGGCTCATTGTCGACGACCTGGTGGTGTCCATACCCAGCAGTTACCTGCCAGACTGTATCAAGTGTATTGGACGCTTTGGAAGCTACGCCAAGGACGTCAACATTAGTCTTACAGCGGTGAATGAACTCTGGAGTGTGGCCGATGTGATTGGCAAGCAGAAAGCACGAGAAACTGACCCCAGCAAGCGGAATCAGGGACAGTGGGGGTGCATCTTCGCCGAGTTTAGCTCCGTGGCGCTGAACGAACGCGCCGAGGTGCGGAACAGCGCCATCAACACTCTTTTCGGTACGGCTGTGACGTACGGCGCTCAATTCGAGCTGAACGAGTGGCAGTTGTTCATCAACTCGACGGTTTTGCCATTAGCAGCCAAGCTATGCGAAACTCAGAGACGGAGGAGCTCACGTTCTTTGGAGAAAGACACGGCCAAGACCTCGGCCAATTACATGCTGCACCACTCACGCGATAACGCTGAAAAACAGTGGAATGAGTCGCGAGTACTGATGCTTACTGGAATCAGTCGTGTGTTGGAGATCAACTGGCATTATCTGCTGCAACACACGTCGTGGTTTGCTTCCATCTGGCGCGAGTTGCTGCAGCACGTAGCGCTGAATGCTGCGTTCGGTATGCCTAAGGAGGTGGTGCTGGCTGCTGTCAAGACGCTGCAAACGTTGCTGCAAGTGTCTTCAGCGGGGGACTTTGACCACATCGCGCAGTCGCAGCCTGTTCGTGCAGGTGTGGGCATGCGCGTTGTCGGGGGAGCTCTCGTGTCTTCATCTGCGCCGTCGTCGGCTGGCTTAACTCCTCCGAACTTGAGACGTGCGGCATCTGCCCCAGTGTATCGAGACCCCGCGCTGTGGGAGGAGGCATTCAGCCAGCTACTGCATCTGTGCGATGAGAGACAGATTGCAGCGGAGAAAGACGAACACCCGGCGCTGCCCTGGAAAGAAGACGAAGAACAGGAGATCGCCAGTGCTGTGGTGTCTGTGCTGGTGGCGCTGTATCTCCAGGCCAAAGAGTACGAGTTCAAGAATGTCAAAAACGTCGACAAGATGCTGGATCTGTTCGCGCTGCTGGTTTCCCGTCACGTGCTTGGTACACCAGCTATTGGCAATGGAGCAGTGACCAAGGCGGTTACGAACATCACGACGAACAGCTTACAGTCGCGTGTTTTAAACGCGTTCGAAGAGTGCGGCTCGTTCGCGTCTCACCCGGAGGTTCATACGAAGATGCTGGACCAACTTGTAGGCTACGTGACTCAGTCGTCCACCAAGGACCTTGTCTTCTTTACCCGTCACGCCTTAACGTCACTAGCCAAGCTGTATGCGAGTGTATCAAAGGAGGCCAGAGAGCAGCGTTTCTTGTCTGTCCTCTTCTGCATCCAGCCGTTCTTGATGTTCGACGGTGTTGCCACGCCTGATTCCGATTCCGAGAAGCCAATGACTGCGGCGCAGAAGGCGGCGACCCAGTTGTGGAAGCACGCGCTGCGTGTGCTCTTGGTCGTGATCTCAAGCGGACTTGTGGCTGTGCGACTGGCTGAAGCCTGTTGGAGACCGTTGCTGGAGACGATCGCGGGCTTCGTGCAGCCGAACGGAGGCAAATTCCCGTCGTGCGTGCAGTCGGAAGAGGACGAAGTGTTGGTACTGAGCGTGCTCGAGTGTGTGGCGGACAGCACGATCGCATTGCTCAGCGACGGCAGCGATATCAAGGCCCATATCGGACAGCAATATCAGGCGTTCATTGGGGACCTGGTCGCTCTGCTGTGCTCGGGCGTGGACGCCGTGGAGCACAACAAGGCGATGATTCGGTGCTGCGTGCGGCAGTTGACCACCATGTGCATTCAGATGGCGGACCAGGAGCTGGCGGCATTCGCACGGGCTCGATTGGTGGCGTGCTGCAACACGGCACTGATGCGGTTCGCCGAGTTAGACGGCCCTAACCAGCGACCAACCGACGATGCTCAGGTCGTAGCTGCACGCGAGAGGGTGGTGGTGCTGCTCACTAGCGCGTTGGAGGTGGACATGCAGCCGCGTAGTATTATGGAGATGTATCCGTCATTATGCGGCTGCATTTCGTCGTCCAACTTGGAGGTGCGACAGCTCGTACAGCGGTTGCTGCTGAGCGGAAGACTGTCTGAGTTCTGCTTAGAGCTTATGGATATTTGGGAGCGTCAGTCTCATTAGTTAGAATTATGTTGAGAACATGCCGACTACAACAAGGTTTGTGGATCTGTTTGAGTGTCTTGTAACACTAGACGGGGGATGCCACCCAAGCAATTGAAGCGGTTCTGCCACGCTGACGCAGCTTCTGGACACAGGGAGGCGATTCTTACACGTTCTTACGCAGACCCAAGCGGCTTGTCAAACACATCTCGAGGAACAAGCTTCCTGAAATTGTCAATACACTTTCGAAGCGTCGAACGTCGTTTGTAGGGAAGATCAGCAATTCTTGCTGGGTCCAATGAATCAAAAAGGAACCATAAATTTGGAGACCAGAGCATTAGAATGAACTGAATTTGGCAATGACAGACAGTTAGATATCGCTGATCCATTAATCTACGCAAGGCGTTTGTGTTTTTAATACTTCAATGCATGTAACTAAGTTACGAGCTCGGGGTTAACACTAGCGCAATTCCACATGCTGCAATAGCGATCTATAATTTGAATGCTCTTAGACACAGGCAGTCTTCTTGGAGCGTACCACAAGTCCCGCAGCAGCAGCCAATTTCTTCATTGCCGAATACTGCGACTGAGTCATTTCGTGAGTCTTCTGGTCCATACAGCAGAACGAACCGATCATTGTGTTGCTCTCGTCAACAATTGGGAATCCGCAGTAAAATCTCACGTCGAATGCGGTACGTCCGTTGATGTTTTGGAAACGAACGTCAGCCTCTGGATGAGGAACCAGCAACGGCTTCGAGGTCATCACAGTGTGTTGACAGAACGAGTGTTCACGTGGAAGTGTAACTCGTCTCAGATCCTCCTTATTCGACCCCAAGACTGTCATTTGGTCGGCAGTGACTACAGTCACAATGCTGATGTTGCAGTCCAATTGGCTGGCGGCCAAAGTGCAGAGCATATCCAGCTCGGACGCGTCTTCCAGGTCCATAATCCGACTACGAGCAATAGCAGCAAGCCGCTCCTTCTCGTTCAACGGTAACGGGGCATCTGGAACCGACCCGTTCGCCGCAGTCTTGGGCATCGTAATGGGGTAATTCCGCTTTGTGGCGTTGGCCAAAATACACTTGTACAAAGGAACTGAAGGAACTTCCAGACCTCCATCTAGAACATCCAGATATTCTTGATCAGCGCTATCAGACGAGAGACGAATCGATCGGGCTTGTCGTTCCTGTTCGCCTTCAGTCTCCTGATCCATCAGGTATTGAATCACCGTACGCACAGAATTCTTTCGGGCGCCGGATGACGAACGTAGCTCCTTCTGCAATAATCGAGCCAACGCTTTGTTAGATGGAGGGTGATCGATGGGGTCTCGCTTCACTTGGATTTTCCCTAATGAGTTGGGCTTCACCGCCGAATAGTCTCCGTTTTCTACAAACTCCATGCAACGCGAGCACATGCGTACAGGTGTGATACGATGAGTATCTTGGGTTTCCATCTCCTTAACCGACCAGCAGCGATCACACACAAAGTGACCGCAGAGATTACAGCGGTGTTTACGTGTAAGTAGGTGCAATGACTTCGTGCAACAGGTGCAATGCGAGTTTTTTGCACTGAAAGCTGCATGGTCCGCCATCGTCTGTGCTCCAAACCGGCGACGACGCACGATTTCTGGTAACCGGATAGCGCCATCAGCTAGACGCATCAGTCGAGCTCGCATTTGAGAGCTCTTAGCCTGTCCTGGCTTGTCCAGGCCGCCGTTGAATTGCCCGAAGAAAATCACGCGAACGTATCTGGAACCGGGCAGCTGTTCGACCAGATACCCAGCGTTCAGGTCGTGTAGCATCTTCACGCGACCGTGCGCGCTCACTTTACCTGCCTCGAGCTCTTTCTCGTCCAGTGAACTCATTGTGAGTGTGAAGGAATTGAGGTTGGCGTGTTCGGAATTTTCAACCGGCGCGCGGATGTGCTGCGCTCGCTCAAGGAAGCACCACTGCTCGTTAGGTGAGAACAGTTTGCTGTGCACAAAGGCCCCCGTCTTCACCGCCACGCGCGTCGTCACGGATTCTTCCTCCTGCAGCAGCTCCACAAGTTTCGGCTTGTCATCAATGACATCGGACGGAACGACGTGTACGACGGATCCGTAGATGAAATCCTTGCGGTACAGTCCGCTCATGACGGCGTTGTGATCAACGTCGTTCGTCGTGTTTAGCACGTTCACCACTTCTTGCAAGTGGCATCGGATCTCTCCAGCTGCCAGCACTTGCTGAGTTAACCGGGTCTTCTCCGCCCGTGCGGCGGTCGCGGCCGGCCGTCGCGCGTACGTCGTGAAGGTGCCGTGCGACTTGTTCAGAATCCACCTGCAGGTGGACTCGTTCGAACCCGCAAGTCCGCGGAAGTCCATCGCGCGGGCCACCACCTCCGCACGGGCGCACAGCTCGTCGTCGTCCACGCGAACTCTTGGTTTTAGTGTTGAGCCGTTGCTGCTACTTGAGAACGGAATGGAGGTCGACAGCGACGACGCCGTGGCACTGCGCGCCTTGCTACGGAAGCGGATGCGTTGCGGCTTGGAGACACCGCTGCTGGTCGCGTCGGTGCTGGGTACACGCTCCAACATTGGCGTATCAGTGTACCCGGACGGCATCGACGGAAAAGAGGTATGCGCTTCCAAGCGTTAATCGTATTGTGGTTGCCCCACCGAACAGGGCAAGCGCTTACATCGGCGAGTCAGTGACCGGCAGCCTGACCGGATGAGGCAGTGGTGATGAATCACCTTGATCCGGGTGCCACGCCGGCGTCAACTACGGTTGGTTCGACAGGCGCATAACCGCTGAAAGGTATCCGCAACGAGCAACTGTAGCAATTCAGTGACTCCTGTGCGGTTTCGCACATCTTGTTCAACAAGTTGCGGGCAGTGACCGACGGTCACTCTGTATCGCCAACCCATGGCACTTGAGCAGTTAAATATTTTGTCGTCAAAGTCTGCTGCCATCGGCGCTTCAGTTGGGGCATGTGCTATAATAGTCCTACAACTCCCGGTTCTTGAAATCGACAGGCACCGTAAAGGATGGCACACAGTGGCTCACCTCAAAACGATCACGCTTCAGCGATGATAAATATACATGTACTTCGTAAAACGAACGCATCGTCGTGAGGTCCGAGCGCCGAGGTCGGCAAGGCTAAGACCAAGACCAAGTCTGTCAAGGCATCGAAATCCGCGGATAATCTTAGAGGTGAGAGAGTCGACCCCCTCGCTGAATCCTAGAAGTTATGTCTGACACGATTCCATGAGGCTCACGATCTCACCGAAATATTGGTGCAGTGTTTTATCACGTTAGATGACGCGAAAGATCTAAATCTTTGCTTCATTGTTCAAAGTTGGCGCTGTTAATAGAATTGTGAAACAACAACAAACTCGGCTAAGTTTGGTGCTCTATTTGTATTGACATGTGAGTCTGTGAAGGACACTATGGCTATTTCTTGCCTTGCCTACTGACATCCAAAAACTATCTACAGCTTGTACGACGAGGTACTCATCAAATCCACGCGCTCCGTCAGATCCGGAAACTGACCCTCCTGCTGCTGCGAGTACTCGCGAGGATGGTGGTGCTCCACTAAACCAACGTAGACACCCGCGCCAATCGCACCACCCAACAACGGAGCCACGATCGGGACCCAGAAGTAAGCATTCCTCAGAGTAAACACCTGGGAGCCCCAACCAGCACACAACGTGAACAACCGAGGGCCAAAATCGCGCGCAGGGTTCAAAGCGAAACCCGTATTCATACCGAACGCCATGCCGATACCCACCACGAGCAACGCTACCGCACTAGGTTGCGAGTACGGGTTGGCGGGTTTGTTCAGCTCGTCGCCAATAGCAAAAAGACCGCACAATAGCAGAGCAGTGCCCACCACCTCCGTCAAGAAACACGTGCCCACCGATACGTCGCTGCTGTAAGGATACGTTGCGAAGATCCCCTGAGTGGTAGCTTTTTCTGGGTCAACAACGTCAAAGAGAGGTTTGTAGACGGCCCAGATGAGGAAGGCGGCTACGAAGGCACCGAGCGTCTGCGCCACGATGTACGGGACGACCTTGCGCCATTGAAAGCGTTTGAAGAGTGCAAGTGTAGTGGTGATGGCGGGATTGATATGCGCTCCAGACACACCTCCGGAGACGTGGATGCCGAATAGGATGCCGATTCCCCATCCTAGGCAAAGTGTGGTGTAGTTACCCTTGCTTTTTTCACTGAGTGTGACTTGCGCGACAGCTCCGTCCCCGAATAAAACTAGGATGAATGTTCCTAGAAATTCAGCGAGGCATTCTCGAAGGAGTGGGGATTTCAGTTGATACGGTCGGATGGCTGGAGCATCAAGCCCAATCTGTCGAGGAGACTGGATGGCGGTGTAGTCCTCTTCGACCTTGTAGCTGTATGAAAGCGGGTCCATGGTTTACTCGAAAGGATTCGGTAGGTTCGATTTGGTGTGGTTTCGTTAGGAGCTGGAAAATTGCAAACTGAACGAGCCAATTGGTTGCGGTGGACTGAAACATATCCACGACGTAGAGGTGACAATGATCAGCAACTTCAAAGTCGAAGATACAGGAGCCCTGCTCATGGCGGACAAAACTCGTCTTTCGTGCCCGACTTGGACTGACCAACACAATCGAACTGAACCATTCCGAACGGAAACGCGAACCCCCCACTGCACAAAATTTAGTCCTCTTTGTCTCACAAGATGTCCGTCATGTCGGAAGGTGAAAAGGCTGAGCTCACCCTGTCGTCACGACTCCAACCAATGATCTTAGCGCGAGCAAGACCACAATGAGAACGCAGTAGAATTACTGTAGTGCCTCCAACATTGAAGATCTCGTGAACCTTTGCTAGCCTCCATTTTTCTTTTAAAAATACGAATATGAATTCATTACGGGAATAGGAACGACAATACTGCCTATCCAGCACACAATGTTCGTGCTATCTAACACCACCGCACCGATGCGCGTGGCGAGCAGCATGATAAGTTGCGAGTTCAGCATTACAAATCCTGTCGATGATCCTAGTGTCTCTCTGCGATCTTGTGGAAATGGCTGCATGACGCATTTATACTCCAGTTGATTTGACTGCCCGAAACATCTTCGTCTTTCGGCGAGCCTGTCCACCTCAAAGCCTACATCAGATCGATCAGGTGGCCTCTCACCGAAATCAGGATATTTAGTACTAAATAGTCGGGCTTTTCAAGTGAATTTCCAAAATTGACCTTGCAGTCATGGGTTTTGTACAGCTTCAACTTAGGCGACGATCTTCCAACAGCAGATTTTTCGGGTCCAATGTCAGGAACATCTAGATAGGCGTGGTTGGTAGCTCACACACAGAACTCGCCGCGACGGGAAGCCCACACGCTATTAGCCTCTTTCAGCCAGTTTGAGAGGGTATCGTTAGCCTTCGTCTTGAGATCGCTTGCAGAAACGGTGTCAGGGAGATGACAAGATCTCGCGGCGATCTGACTCACCGAATCGATCTGGACTTTAGTTTGACGATGCGAATTCGTTTGGTTTCACTGTGACGTTTATGTGTTTGTACGTCGTCAATGAAAATTTGTTGTACAGCGTTCGATATGAAGCTAAGAATTCTGAGCCATAAAAGCGCAGTCGCTACCTCTGCCACTGAGGCGTTCTAAATGCACTCACCCCATTTAAAGCGTTGACGGAATTTTCTTTAAATAAAGGAATATTTCCGCGAATAGTAGTTTTCACCAAATAGTACCAGTCACGATCCACTGCACAATTGACAAAACATACAAATCATGAGAGGAAATCCGCCCACAAGTTTTAAAGTTGATAAACCGTTTTCATACCTAACCAGACTTCAAATTTTGAGTGTACTTTTTCGGTTAAGAAAGATTAAAGTACTTGTTCTCGATTGCTTTATACACGAAATTTCTGGTAATATCAGAATCGTTAATACCGATATTGAGGGTCCGAAAATGAAGATATGTTTTTTTGGGGTGCTCCTTATCGACAAATTAACATCTCCAAACAACCTAGGTCTCAAAATAAACACTAGATACTCCGCCTTGCAATGGTTTGCTTGCATCGCGATTCCTACTTAGGTTCCTTAGAAATTTTTTGTTTGCGATTGTCTCAAATGTACTAGTGTTTTTTTAACACGTTTTTGAATTGCTTACAGGCATGTTCTCCTCGCCAACGTACCAGTACATGTTTTGTGAGCTAAGTATATGACATCCCGGTTGACTGCTTGCTTTATATGCTGAAAAAACTGTTGCGAGAGAATTGTGGGTGAGGCTGGAGTTGTTTCTTCACGATGTTGTTTAGGTCTCCTCCCAAATATGATTGACGATTATTAACCCTATGATTTATGAAGTGCCGCGTTTTCGATCCTTTGTTATTTGGAATACCAAGACATGAATTTATTGCTTTTAACGCTAGAACTGTAAATCACCATATTTTTGAAGCATCATAATCATTTCAGTACCAAGTATCCGAGAACGTAATAACAGCAACACTACGCCAAGTATTCTCTCAGTGTAATTTGCGTTACGCCTGAATTTTGCATTTAAACAAAATACTTCTGCTACATTTCTCCATAATAATTTTTTTAGCTCGTTTCGTCGGGAAATACGTATTTTCATTACAAGAACTCATTATTTGCAAAACCGATACAACAATTATTTGTTTGGATCTCTGAGGACAAATCCAATTGTAAGAATCAATCTCATGCTCTACTGTATTGGGCTCTAAATTGTTTCCAAATGTTAGACATAATTCAATTACGAAATTATTCTTCACCACCTTCATTGGGCGGCTGTGTGCGAGTTTCAATCAAAGAACCGCGCACGGAAATTTTTGAGTAGAACGCACAATACTACTACAGTATACAATATTAATATCATGTAACAATTCTACCATCGAATTCCAAGTACTTCAAAATGCACGCATGAACATCTTCCTTTGGTAGATACTGAACAATGGAAAAATGGAATGAATGCGTGTACTTCGAAGTAGTCGGTTTCCAGTTGTTCAGACCGAGACTATAACGGAAACTCTATTAAAATGTTTCTTGTTTTACCAGCGAAAAGCTTTCTTATCGCAGTGCATGTGTGCACCCATTCCATGCGAAAATGCTTTATGATAGCATGTTTTCGAAGGGCTCGGCACTGCCTACTCTAGCAGTTCTTCCAGTACGAAGGCCACTTATGTACACACCAATGCTGAACACCACCTTTTTGCCAAGTTGTACACGTTCAGTTTACATCTGTGTTTTCATCGTCTTCTTGATGCACTTGTTAAAGATGTCAGCACCGACATGGCTGCAGAAAATGGAAAACAAGATAAAAGTTGATACTTCTACCTTCGTTCTGCCCCTCCAAACCGCTTCGGGCGAAACTTGAATTTGTAAGTGTATAGTTTAGTGTACTCTTTTACGATCTCCATGGTTGGATCATTCTCCCACGTAAACTTATCGAGCTTGAGTTTCGTGGTAATTTCTTCAGGCGTTTTCTTGCCATCCAGCCACTTTTTAAGCAGAGCGTGCTGCAATCCAGACGCCACAGGTTCCATAGCCTCATCCTTTTTCGCTAAATGGATTGACTTCGCCAACGAGAATTCGTTGAAGCTCGTCAGTAGTTGATTTACCATGTCCACATCTTTGTCTGGGCTGTAGTAGTTCCGCAATTTGAAGTAATTTGACCACACATTAAAAGCTGGGGTAGTAAAAAGATCCTTGACACTTTCCTCTTCAACCTTCAAAAGCTTGAATACATGGTCGTTAGATAAACCGTTGACACCCCATGCTGCCAATAAGTCATTTTGTAATCTCATAGCAAGCTGTTCCGATCCTGGGTCCCGCTTCGCATTTTCTAGCATCTTTGCTACAGCTTCGTCGCCGTACGACTTGACGAGCACGCCAAGGATATTCTTCATTTGCTCAGGGTATTTCTTGTCGTACATTGTCAGATAAGTGCTCCACAAATAGAAACTCGGGGACGTCAGGAGCGTCTCAACTTCGTCATCCATATTGAGCAGCTTTAATGCGTTCTCTGGGGTCTGCTTCTCCTTCAACCAAGCTTTGAGTTGTTTCAGTTCGTCGTCTCCAGTGGAGGCCTTAGTCAGGTGCGTTGTGAACCAGCTTTTGAGCTTCGACGATAGGCCATTGAAACCCCTCTCCTCGTCGTTCACACCGTCTCCTTCATCGGGTTTTAACAATCTCTTGGGGCTCGTTTGAATAAACGTATGGGCCGAAGTTATGGGGCTGTCTACTGGCAGTTTCACTGCCTCAACAGTTAACGCAGCGCTGAAACTCTCAGTGAGAGCGATGAAACACACCAATACCAAGTACGAGAGCTGCATGGCTTCTGATCCACGGAATGTGGAATACTTTGTTATGCGAGTCTGTGAGACACAATCTACCCCCGGACAATACCCCGGATAGAATGGAGTAAAAAGCGGAGGTTGGCTGGTCGTGTGTAATTACGACCACCCGTACGAGTCACAACGAAACGAAAACCGATCTCTAAGATATCTTCGTTGTCTGTGATGTGATCTAATAGTTTTAAAGGTTTGCTAAATTTGACAATGCTAATCCAGTCAGAGCCGTACATCAACCTCTCAACCCTGCAAATAATTATTAAAGGATATAAGGAGGTATAAGATGTAATATGATGATGTGCTAGCAGTTTGAACAGCACATCTCTTACAGTATCTCCTCTAGTAGGAATGGTCCAAACAATTTGCTTGGACTAATCTTAACTAAAGAAGGGAGTTGATGTTGCGCCTACGTGGGCGCATTATCGTGTAATTCCAGTAGCAAAAATGCTACTCTTAAACGAAGGAAAGAAAATCGCACAAACAAATCCGTGAAAAACACAGATTGTGAAAAAAGATGCTTTTAATAGAGGGCGGTAGTGAGCGGGTGTGAGGAGTGTAGCCGAAGCAAACCCGAGCGGGGTGCCCGCGAAGCAGGGCCGCTCGGTATTTGTGTAGGCGGGCTCAGCGACGAACTCACCAGCGAACGGACCCGTAACACTCTCCAGAACATGTTTTTCTAATGCGGGGGTCTGGGTGTGCAACCCCCAGTATCCTTTTAGTAGTGGCCCTTATCCGGTATACCGATATTTCTGTGGAATTATTCATCCGTATGTTCTGTGGGTTTGCTTATTCTGTCTGTGCTAATCTACCGCTCTTCTCATAAACAAAAGGATCGTGTCTCATTCACCATACACTGCCCCACCCCTGTCGCCTTGTGCTAGCTGTACAACTGGCCTCTCTCCTAAGCCGTATTGTGCCTTTCTGTTATGTTGCCGAGTCCTCTGTAGGACTTAACCCCTCCGTTAATCTGAGGTTGATGGTGGCTAAATCATTGAAGACAGGTTTGCAAATCTCGTAGGTATTCTCGTCAAACTTCTGTCTGGAGCCAAACAAACCAGTTGCAGGCAGATGGAAGGCATCTGTACCTGGACCGTGGAGGCGTTAGGAGCGAAAGAGATGCGCATTTGGTAGTATTATATCCGTCGAGTAAGCTACTCTAAGTTCATCTATTATCCATTTGCTGTCGACTATTGCATAATATGTCTCGACGATTTCGATTGCTTCAAGTCCCACGAAAGATTCGCTCTCGCTCTCAAAATCCGAATGCCGAAAGAATTGCCGTCATTCGGACTTACGACGTTTGCAGGACCATAGACGGTGCATTCATAGGAGTTGAAAAGCACCCTCCTCTGTGCTAATTCTTTGTGAGTGCCCCCTTAATCTGCTCAGATAACCAAACCTCTCATACGAAAGCCGTGATTCTACACGCCAAAAATACATGAAAGGCACAATAACAACATTTTGACTACGAGATAATGCGACGTGGGCACAATATCCATGCTGTGCTGGCAATGCCTGCACTGTTTCACTTTCCGAGATAATTTTCAAGATCAACATGTGGCTCAAACTGACACTGTCGCATCTGGCCGTGATGATGTTTTCAGCAAACTTCTCTGGCCGTGATGATGTACGTGTACTAATATATGCACGTTGATTAGCTTGGTGTATCGATGTGTCATGTTGATAGGTTATTAAGCAGCATGGAAACCTTTCATTAAACGTTAGATACACTCATTTCACTAAAAACAAAACCCTCCTATTAATAAGTGACAACCTTAGTAGGAAGGTTTAAATTCCTGCGGAGCCCTTCAATTTTAGAGATTTGTATTATCTACCTGTTTATTAACCCAACGATTTTTGTCCTAATAAAAACTCGTTTACATGTTAAGTACGATGGAGTGGAGTTTGTCCTGGAACCAGCTTATAGGACAAAAACTAACTTGAAGCTTGTAAAAAGGCTCTTCGATTCAGTTTACACGTCAAGTGCGATGTATCATATATAATAGCTATTGCTGACAAAGAGAGGTACCAGTACAGTGGATGCTTCCAAAGTCAAGTGCCACAAAATGAACCCAAGTTTAATTGAGGTTTTTGTCCTGGAATCCGTGGGACAAAACTCACGCATGCTTTGTTACTAGTGACTTTGTAATACATTTTCGCCCTGTTGAACAACAGTAGACACTACGAAAATTATACCACGTACAGAACCCTTTAGGTAGTATATGGCCATGGCAGTAATTCCACATAATTCTCGATAATGATGCGAAGCCAAGGCTCTAACGTTTGGTCCTATTTTTTGCCCTAAAAATTTCAAGGTGTTGGGGTTAACAAGCAGTTCGCGACACAACTGCAGGTAAAAAGGCCGTACGGGTAAATCGTCGAGAAATAAGTTTATCGCCAGGAGGTTTTGTCTTAAGCGACTCAACGTGCAATCAATTAGAGTGGGGACTGGCCAAGGAGATGTAGACTGGCGGCTAAGAGCTCATCAGTGCCAAAGACGTGTAGAGCTCATGGTGCAAACGCATGTAGTGATTCTTCGCGCAAAGTAACGCTTACATACAAAACAAATTATGTGAATACTATCAGCACGAAACTGCCTTTAGGAGGGGCGGACGAACTAATTTACCCTCCAGTATTGAATCATTCAATAATAGGCGACAAGCTTTTAAGATTCTAATTTTTCGCAGTAAAATTTCATCAACGACAAACCAAGAACAAGCTTATTCTCGCCGAGTGGAGTTCTGTGTCTGACTCCATTAATTAAACGAAAAGTACTGAAGATAGTGTCATGGGCTATCTGCTACAGGAAGATTGTCCGCTTGGCTGTAAGTATACCAACTACACGCATTTGCACTGCGAAGTGGTTGCATAAGTTGAGGGTGCACCTTTGAAAGCACGATATGCGTTACTAGTGCTTACCCGATAAAGAAAACTTCCTGCTTCAGGTGGATCTGGGATTGTTTTACGTCCACGGCCTAAAATGTTCAAAATGTGCGCACTTCACAGTGGGGAGAGCATATTCTGAAAGCTGACTCAGCGCGGAGCAACGGTAGCGCCGATTTACACCGAAATGAGCGATATTCACTGAGTCACCATCTCAAATCCCCACGGTAGGACATGGACTGCATCTATCAGAGACGGGGTCCTTGACCGTTATCATTTAGCTGTTCGACATGCGGTTCGACTAGCGCATTCGTCTACAGCACAGGCAGCGATCATCTTCACTTGAGGTTTTGCACTGAGCCCGGCGCATATACGCTCGTCAAGGTATCCACGCCGAGCAACTACATCGTCTGCCAACCACTCATTGCAATGATTACCAGTAGCATACCGGTAAGTTTACTGCCCTGTGTGTTTCAAGGTTCGCCGGGCACATCGAGTCCCACTCAACACCAGCTTCAACTGAGACGGCTTCGCTTGATCGCGACCACTACGCACCCGTAGAGACCATGTTGGCAATGGCGTGCGGGTCATTGCGGCCCTCAATTTGCAGGTGGCAATGGCCGTCGTCGCCGATAAAACGGGGAACTGCACACGAGCGCAACGGGAGCGAGAATCCTTGTTGCAGTAGGGAGCAACAACTCGATGCTGCAGGAGACTTGTCTTGCAGGCGCAGAAAGACGCGCGCCATGCCGGCGGGCTTGCTTGAAGATCCATCGGACGTAACCAGGCTGCGCTTCGTAAGCCGAAGTGATCCTTCACTTCATCGCTGCGCTGTGAACGGACACTGCATCCGCTGGCTGCAGTGGCAGTGGCGGCCGGGCGACCCGTTTCTGCTTCTAATGTCACGTCGACAGTCTTGCACCTTGAAGTAGTTGGCGCGCGTGAACATGACGCCTCGAGGCTCGAGGTGATGGCAACTCGACAACTACGAGGCTCGACCCGGAACTTCTGGGTCAGGAGAACCCAGACGTGACTGCATGGAGCGTGATACCGGTCCCACACTCACTTCCTCGATGCTTCCCGCGAGCGGCACCTCGGCCCTCGGCTACCCGAGGTCACTTTCCGATTCTCCCCAAGCCGAGCAGCACCATCTTCACCTTTCATCCCTGCTTAAGTCGCGATGGCTCACTTGTCCGACAGCGGCTACACCAAAGATAAGGACGGCTATGTCGGCGTCCAAGACGCGGACGTGGCCATGATGCCGGCGCCCGTCGCCAAACCGTACCAGGTCAAGTCGCCGTTGCTGCGCGAGTGCATGGCCGAATTCATCGGCACCATGGTGCTCATCATGTTCGGCGACGGCGTCGTGGCCCAAGTCGTGTTAAGTGAGAACACTAAGGGTGAATACATTAACATCAACTTGTGCTGGGGTCTCGGCGTGCTCTTCGGAATCCATGCGTCCGGCGGCGTCTCAGGTGCGCACCTGAACCCGGCCGTGACCACGACTCTGGCCATCTTCGGCCGCCTCGAGTGGCGCAAGGTGATCCCGTACATCATCGCTCAAGTCCTAGGTGCGTTCGTGGCGGCCTTCATCGTCTGGGCAGTCTACTGCCCCATGTTCAACACCATCGACCCCGAGAAGGAGACGACCCAGGGCGTCTTCGCCACGTATCCGTTCAGCAACGACGTGCCGGTCGGAACCTGTTTCCTGACTGAGGTAGTGGGAACGGCCTTGCTTTTGGGCGGTATCTTCGCCCTTGGTGATGAACTCAACAAGCCCGCCAGTCCATACAGCCAGCCGACCGCTGTGGCCCTCTTGGTGGTGGCCATCGGTATGGCGTTCGGCATGAACTCTGGCTACGCCATCAACCCGGCACGTGACTTCGGCCCGCGCCTCTTCTCGCTGTGTGCTGGCTGGGGTTCGCGCGTCTTCACTATGCGTGACCACTACTTCTGGGTGCCGATCGTCGGGCCGCTGCTCGGAGGAGCTATTGGCGGCGGCGTGTACATTGGACTGGTAGAACACCACCACCCGCGCGACTACAAGCACCCGCTCGAAGGCTAAGCGTTCCTGTCCTCGTCGTGGGTTGTTGAGCGGTATCCTATATAGGATAGGAGGTGGTTGTGCAAGCCTGGCCATGGTAGCCACGTAGTCTTGCATACCCCTCGTTCTTATAAACGTTTCTTCATTTTGACATTCTACTTGATCTTTGGGGATAATTTATTCTGATCCTGCGTCGTTCTGCGTACTGGTTGTTGGTAGGGTGTGCCGGTGGCCTCAGTCGATTAAAGTTTTGACTCGGCAAGTTTTCGATGCTCCATCTCCATCGAGAACTCGAAGTGGTCTCTTCATTCTCTTCGTTGCCTAGGCACAGTAATCACAGGCGGAAGTGAAGGTGATGGCGATCGTAGTCATTGCATCGTCCTGGCTACAGTCCACGTTCACAAACCCTCGACGATCATATTTGACACGCCGACAGCGTTTGGAATAGTCGTCAGCTTCAACTTGTCGATCTGATAGGACCTATCATACTACTAGTAGGTGGCATCTACGGCTTGGATCCACTTTGCTGCCTTCCAGCGTAGAGATCACGCTACTTGAAGTACACTATGTATCGCAGGGCCATCGTTGAGGACTGGCTGCTGAGATGCCGCTCGCCTTGGTCTCACTTTGCAAATTGAAGCGAATCTCTAAAGCTCGACAGCTTCACCCACCGAAAGCTAACCAAGATGGCGACGTACGAACTGGACACCACCGGCAAAGTCGAGAACGGCTACGTCGGTCTACAAGAGCCCGAGGTTGAAATGCCGCCAGATCCCGTCAAACCGTTCCAGGTTAAGTCGTCGCTGCTGCGCGAATGCTTGGCAGAGTTTATCGGCACTATGGTGCTCGTCATGTTTGGCGACGGCGTCGTCGCCCAAGTGGTTCTCAGCGAAAATACCAAGGGCGAGTACATTAATATCAACCTTTGCTGGGGGCTCGGTGTTCTGTTCGGCATCCACGTCTCGGGTGGCGTGTCCGGGGCGCACATCAACCCGGCCGTGACGATCACGCTCGCACTGTACGGGCGATTCGAATGGCGCAAGGTGATCCCGTACATCATCGCGCAGATCTTGGGCGCATTCGTGGCTGCGTTCCTGGTGTGGGCGGTCTACTGCCCCATGTTTAGCACCATTGACCCCAGCAAGGATTCGACCGAGAGCGTCTTTGCCACTTACCCGTACAGCAACGATGTACCGGTCGGCACCTGTTTCCTGACGGAAGTGGTAGGTACGGCATTGCTACTGGGCGGCATCTTCGCCATCGGAGATGAGCTCAACAAGCCCGCTAGTCCGTACAGCCAACCCGGAGCAGTGGCACTGCTGGTCGTGGCGATTGGCATGGCGTTCGGCATGAATTCAGGCTATGCCATTAACCCGGCACGCGACTTCGGCCCGCGCCTCTTCTCGCTGTGTGCCGGCTGGGGCTCGCGCGTCTTCACCTTGCGCGATCACTACTTTTGGGTCCCGATCGTCGGCCCCCTTCTGGGCGGCGCGATCGGCGGCGGTATCTACGTTGGTCTCGTGGAGCATCATCACCCGCGTGACTACATACATCCGCTCGACAACTAAGGTCGGCCGTGTATCTTCATTTACTGTAGCTCTCTTACCCAGCTCATTCTCTTTAATGAATGTCGCTTGTGCTTCTCGCTCTATCCAGCAAACGTTACCATGCCCTGCAGACTGCAGATACATGTATGTCGCCGAGTGCTGTGGCTGTGCTCACAGATCGGCGTATGCCACGCCGGCGCCGTCAGCAGCTGTACTGGTGGTCTCGTCACTTTTCTATCTCAAGGTCAGGCCATCAATTGTCCACCTTGGCACGCGTTCACGAAGAGGACAGATCACTTCAAGTACGCGCTGGCATGACATACTGTAGGACTTCTTTGGAAGGAGACTCAACGCAGCGTTGACGACAAGTTACAACTGTATACAAACTCGCATTGACCATGTAGTGCTGTTAAAGTATCCACAGCAGCCATGAGTTGACCAGGCACAATGATGCCGGGGTCCAACTGACCTGTTTACATATTCAACTTGCCGGTGGACCTGTATTCGGACGCTAATCAAAACTGAAGCAGTGTACACCTCTCGAGCGCAGACCGGCGGTAAAGTGTCGAGACCGCCGACATGCATGACTGGAGTGCAGAGATCCAATATTAACGCCACCAATGCAGTTGTTGATCAAGCTCCTGTGGACGACGCTCACGGCATCTCCTGCATCGCTTTGGCAGATGGCGAGGCGGCTGACGGCTCATCCTTGACGGATTGACTGCGCTGCACTGCGCTTGACCGGCAGACAACATGACTGAGGCTGCAGCTGGCGCAGAAACTCTCGCCGGTTTGCTCACGCGTCTCCATTTTCGCCGCAAACCGAGCCAGTCTATGTTGGATTTCCCATTCACAAAGGATAAAGAAGACGTGCCGAGTGGTTGAAGTTCAAGCGATTCGTGTGTTGTCAACAACTTCAGCCCACTCGCTCCGCCGCCCAAGGCCGCCGAGCGGGTTGCTCACTTTCCGATTCGCAGTGTCGGCCACAGGGCTCCTTTCGTCCGCGTTTACTAACCTCTGTTTAATCAAGTGTTACCGTCATGTCGGGCAACGACGACAAGATCGAGAGCGGCTACGTCGGCGTGCAGGAACCAGACGTGCTCATGAGTCTCGAGCCCGCCAAGCCGTTCCAAGTCAAATCGCCTCTTTTCCGCGAGTGTCTGGCCGAGTTCCTTGGCACGATGGTCATGATCATGTTCGGTGATGGTGTCGTGGCCCAGGTCGTGCTCAGCGAAGGTACCAAAGGCGAGTACATCAACATCAACTTGTGCTGGGGTCTCGGTGTGCTCTTCGGCATCCACATTTCGGGTGGCGTCTCCGGTGCGCACCTGAACCCGGCCGTGACAACCACTCTGGCGTGGTTCGGCCGCATGGAGTGGAAGAAGGTCCCGTACTACGTCATTTCGCAGATTCTCGGCGCCTTCACAGCGGCGTTCATTGTCTGGGTAGTGTACTACCCGATGTTCAACGTGATCGACCCCGAGAAGACGTCGACGCAGGGCGTGTTCGCCACCTACCCGTACAGTAACGACGTCCCAGTTGGCACCTGTTTCCTTACTGAGGTGGTGGGCACGGCGCTGCTCATGGGCTGCATCTTCGCTATCGGTGACGAGCTCAACAAGCCTGCTAACCCATACACCCAACCTGGTGCAGTGGCTCTGCTGGTTGTGGCCATCGGTATGGCTTTCGGTATGAATTCTGGTTACGCTATCAACCCTGCGCGTGACTTCGGCCCTCGTTTCTTCTCTTGGATCGCTGGCTGGGGGTCGGAGGTGTTCGAGCTGCGTGACTCGTACTTCTGGGTGCCTATTGTGGGCCCGTTGCTCGGCGGACCCATTGGCGCTGGCATTTACGTTGGCCTCATCGAGCACCACCACCCGCGTGAGTACAAGCACCCGCTTGAGAACCAGTAAAACGTTGACGCAGAGTAGCTAGGATGGTGGAGACAGTTGTATAGTAGTGTTGATCTCCACAGTTTATGAAAGCTATAATCATGTTACGTTACCCCATCGCTTGTCTGTCGACTAGTCCAATGGCTGATGTGATCATTGTTTTCTTGTCCCTGTTGCGTTACGCTGCATAACTTACACTAGCTGAGATGAAGAACGTGAATCGGAGCACAATTTAGTCTTGGCTAAAATGGAAGTGAAGCGTATTATCGTGGCGTTTCTAGCGGCGGCAGATCAAGTGCTGTCAAGCTACCGATGGGCTCCGTATGACCACTGTCGTGGACTCTTACCGTGAGCAGATGTCAAAGGCAATACCGTTCTATCCAAGGCAGCAGACTTGCTAACCTTTCAGGCCCAGAAAAATGAATGATCATCTGTAAAACCGAGCAGGTGGAAGTGTGTCGGATGGTAGCGCTATCAAGAGGAAGGGAGGCTGCAACCAGACTTCGTGAGGCCTACCGTGCTGCCTTGACGGCTCACTACGGCCACACGGTGAGATCGTACAAGCTGGCTGCAATGCCTTCGAGTGTTGCAGTGGGAGAGTGGTTTTGCCTCGCCCTCACTTGTCATTTTACGGCGGTCTCCACAGCTCGCCTTATTTACTGCCTCCATAAGAAGACCAGCAAGCCTGCACCACCTCCAAGCGATGATTCGCGACAGTATGGACAAGATGGAAGCGATGCTTCGAGGTAGCATGAGCAAGATGGACAGCAACTACCTAGCCGAACCGGACGTGGCTATGATGTCGACGGAGCCGGCGCCAGCCGCAGCGTACCAAGCTAAGTCTCCGTTATTTCGGGAGTGTATGGCCGAGTTCCTCGGTATGCTAGTCTTCATGTCGTTCGGCACGGGCGTCGTCGCTCAGGTCGTGTTGAGCGAGGGATCGAAAGGTGACTTCCTCAGCATCAACTTGTGCTGGGGGCTCGGAGTTCTCTTTGGAATCCACGTCTGCGGTGGCGTCTCCGGTGCGCACTTGAACCCCGCCGTGACTGTGTCGTTGGCGCTGTTCCGCCGGTTCAAGTGGAGGAAAGTCCCGTTCTACGTGGCAGCTCAACTCCTGGGGGCTTTTGTAGCGTCGGCTATTGTCTGCATGGTGTATGCCCCGCTGATCAGCGCCACCGACCCGCACAAGATGGAAACGCAGGGCATTTTTGCTACATATCCGTACAGTGACGACGTTCCCACCGGCACGTGCTTCCTGACGGAAGTCGTGGGCACTGCGCTGCTCGTTGGCTGCCTGTTTGCCATTGGTGACGAGATGAACAAGCCTGCGAGTCCTTACTCACAGCCTGGAGCGGTGGCTCTTTTGGTGGCAGCCATCGGAATGGCATTCGGTATGAACACCGGATACGCTATCAATCCGGCTAGGGACCTCGGTCCGCGTCTGTTTTCGCTGTGTGCTGGATGGGGAACGATGGTATTCACCCTGAGTGACTCGTACTTTTGGGTGCCGATCATAGCCCCGATGCTAGGAGGCCCCATTGGCGCCGGCATGTATATCGTCCTGGTGGAGCAGCATCATCCCGTGGAGTACGGTCACCCACGTGCGTAAATGTTATGTAGCGTAGACACCTATAAAGTCTAGTAAAGTTGTGTTCTTTGTTCTTTGAGTTGAAAGACTTTGTTGCGCTTCGCGTTGGCCTACGCGGCAGGTAAATTTGCAGGAGCAAGTGTCGTTGAAGTTCATGTATGAGTGTAGTAGTGAGCCGCAATGTGTGTGAGCACTTATTGTTAAGCATCATTGATTGAGCAGGGGCGTCGCCCTTGCAGCGTTGAAGTTCAACCGGTGACTTCTGAAGATCGCAAGAGCTCCGACCCGATAGTGAACATAGTTCACCACTAACTTATCCGGATGCGTGACCTGCATTTCATTTCATTGCTGCCCGTCGACTCGACAATCCCGGCGTTTGAGCTGCTTTTGCGCTGTGTTGCTCAGAGCGATCAGCTCACACAGCTCGCAAAGACGCTTGTGAATGCTTATAGACACCTCGTTGTGTACCTCCGAGTCGGAGTCCGACATTGGCCATTGTGATCGTGAAGAGCTGCAAGCTAGCTTCAAGCTCTAAAAACTGTTGACTCGACACTTTTGGCTGGACGTCGGCAGCCACAGCTTCAACGCAGATGCCGTTCATCATTGATGACTTGATCGTCGCTGGTTTAACGTGGTGACCACCCGCCAGGTGAAGATGAATGAGACGAATGATAGCTGTAAGCGCGTTAGATGCATGTACTAGTAAAATAGAGCTTTGGATTCTTCATGTTAGCAACTGCAAACGCAGGAAACAATTCAACTTTTTTACATGCATTGGCCGTAGCCTTCACGTTCTGAAAGCTGGTCAACATATTCAATGCCTTAGAAGTGGAACTGCTCGCCGTGCTTGCGCACCACGGTCGCCTTCTGCGGGTGGTGGTGGCCAACTAGCGCCACGTACACGAGTCCGCCGAGCGCGCCGCCGACGGTGGGACCCACGATCGGCACCCAGAAGTAGTAGTGGTTGAGCGAGAACACGTGCGAGCCCCACCCAGCCGTCAGCATCATGAGACGCGGGCCAAAGTCGCGCGCCGGGTTGATGGCACAGCCGGTGTTGACGCTGAAGGCCATGCCGATGCCGACGACCAGCAGAGCCACGGCGCTGGGCGCACTGAACGGGCTGGCCGGACGGTTGTGCTGGTCCAGCACGGCAAAGATGCCGCCTACTAGCAATGCCGTCGCGAACATCTCGGTTAAGAACGCGATGAAGTTGGATACGTACTCGTTCGGGTACGTCGCGAAGATGGCGTGCGTCGTCTCGCGTTCCGGGTCGGCGACGTTGAGCAGCGGCCGATACAGCACGTAGATGAACAGAGCAGCCAGATACGCGGCCAGCGTCTGGGCGGCCACGTAACCAGGCACTTTCCTCCACGGGAGCATTCCGAATAGCGCCGCGGTGGTCGTAATGGCCGGGTTTAGGTGCGATCCCGAGACGCCGCCGCCGATGTGGATGCCGAAGAGCACGCCGATGCCCCAGCCGAACACGATCTGCGTGAAGTCGCCGTATTTGCTCTCGGTTAGGATAGACTGGCACGTCGCGCCCAGGCCGAAGCTCATCATGACGAAGACGGCCACGAACTCAGCGCAGATCTCGCGCACGTGCGGGTTCTTGAGTGCGAAGCGGCTCGGGTTGACAGCGGGGCCTCCGCCATTTACCGCGGCTTCGTGAGCCTCGAGATCCACGTAGCCGTGCTCGGTCTTGTCTGCGTGTGAAGGAGTAGCCATCGTAGAGCTTGAGTGCTTGACTGGAAAGTGTCGGAGCGCTCGAAGGTGAATCGAGAAATGAACTTCCTGCTCTTGGAGCTGCCAGCGGCAGACAAGGAGCCTTAATCCTACTACACCCTCGTTTGACAGATTAATAGCCTTACCACCAGTAGCAATCGGTCAGAGACCATGTTGAAGTTCAATGGCTCTGTAGAGGTCCATTGGTCTAGCACTGCAACGGCGACTTCCCTCATTTTATTCTCATAATGAGAATCTCATTTCACCAGCTCAACTTCAAGGCACGCCCTAAGATGTGGGATCTCGTCGGGCTTACAGAACAGCAGCCATAGTCACATTGAGCTTCGTGAAGAAGGTTGCGCGGGTGCCAGCACAACGCTAGCAATACCACAAAGCACATTCGTCAAGCAGTGCTCGTTCTTCGTGGTGGCAAAGACGTCGCTCTCCGAGTCCAAGCAGCTCCATGTGGACATTCATGATCGGCGATGCATGCCAGGGTGCTTTCCTGCTGGGTACCGCCCCACCCAGACGTTGACTTTCACTCCAAGCATAAAGTCACAGCTTGGCATTATCAAGCAGCGAGTGGTGGTGAAAGAGCTGCCTGCCGCGAAGATGCTGGACGATGTAGGCAGTCGAGCGTGCAGCGCCTGAGCCTGCACCACTGCAGGCGCTTGAAGAGATTTCGGATCACTGTGAATGGCGCGCGTCGCCCACGCTCAGGCTCACTGCAACTTGCCATCATCCACGTTGAAGCTGCCATTGCACCCCTTCACGGCGTAGATCGCCATTGCGATACCAGTCGTCGGCTCGAAAACTGTTGACGTTGACAATTCCGGCGGCACTACGGTAAGAGGACGTCCTCCTGTCCGAGGCATATCGGTACATGTAGCTGACACGAGGCATGACTTCAACATCCGCTCGAAATGGCTTCATCTTTCGCCGCAGCATGTAAACCGCATTGGACTTCAAATCAAGCCCCAACGCCATGCCCAGAGCACCATCATTCCAGCCGCCATCGCGACCAAGCAGCCACCGAAAAGTGTTGACTCGACAGTTTCTCATCCGACTCAAGCTGCTGTTCAGCGTCTCCTTCACGTGATGCAAAAGTCCCCGTAATCAAAAGCGCCAACGTCTCCCCCCATAAACGAGCGATATGATGGGCTCCATTCGTGCAGGGCATCGTTGACGCGGTCGAGCCTCGCTTGCAATTAAGAGCGGGTCTGCGCTCACAGCCTGCCCTTACGGCTCACAGCCTGCCCTTACGGTCCACGACAGCTCACTGCCAACTGCATGTTACCCGTAGCAGCGGAAGCTGTTGTTCTGGGCACTTGTGCGCGAGAAGGAAAGAGTGAAAGTATATTTGAGGAGTTTTAGCTGGATTCTTCAATAATGTCGACTCGACACTTCCATAAAATCCATGGGGGTCTGGCTTCCGGTCGCCTGCACGTAGGCTGGCTTTTACATCAATGTCCAACAGAAGCATTCGCCTTGGGATCCCAATCACACCGCTCCGCTGCATTCTCTTGTTTTTCTTTCGCTGATCATAAGGTGTTCTTGTCTAGTCACGTCTAGTGTCCAATACACCTTTCACTCCTAATTGGGGGAAACGGGGGCTCTATTCTGGGTCAGCTCTGACTTGGGTACACCACACCAAATTGTGTAATTAGTGTGTTGTCTTCATCAAAGCCGCAAAAAGCTCACCTCACCCAGTTCGGGAGCCATGTCCCGCCACCGCAACGTACGCAACCGCGCTTACTCGTACGAGGACGAAGGCAAGCATATCACATCCACCTTTGTCTGCTTTACGATATCCCTCACCACCACTTTCTCTGTCCTCAGATTATGACGAATACTACGACGACTACGAACCCACTTCACCCAACAGTACGAAAACAAATCCTGCCACAAAATATCCTAAAATAGTGCCACATTTACTAACACTTTTTACCATAACCAACACTATCACTCATGTAGACGAGTTCATGTACCGCAGGGACTCTCCCAGTCGCCAGCGCTCCGTTTTCTCCTTCGTCCAACAAGAAGAGACCGAGTATCAGACTCAGGAATCCACCACTGACCCAGGAGATGCCGAGATCCTGGAAGCCATGATACCGCAAGTCCAACAAGCCGTGGGCAGTAGATTTTCAGCCCATCAGATCACTCAGGAGCTCCGTAGTGCCAACTACGACGTGGATAAGACCGTAGTGGCTCTACTAGAAAAAGGTAAAGCTCCAGCCGCAGCCGGTGGCGTGTTACCATTGCAGATCCAGATCCCCCGCCTGGAGACTGTAGCTCTAGCCATTGGCAACGAGGAGAAACAAGAGCCCAAACCTAAAAAAGAGATTGTCATGCCTGCTCCTGCTAAGGGCAAAGCGACGGCTATTGGAGCCATGCCATCAACGCCTAAAGAAGAGAAGAAGCCTCGCATATCTGCAGCTGATGCAGCCAATGCCGCCCCAGTGATCTCTCGGGCACATACGCAGTTCACTCCAGCGGAGAAGAAGGCGTTCGAACGCGCAGAGTTAAAGACGCAGGAGCAGGCTGTTAAACTGGAGGAAGAGGCTCGTACTGGAGGCAAGACGAAGATCAGTATGGTCGTAATTGGACATGTGGATGCAGGCAAGAGCACCATTACTGGTCATTTACTGTACAAGCTCGGGTATGTGAGCAAAAGACTGATGCACAAGTACGAGAAGGAGTCGCGAGAGGCCGGTAAGTCTTCCTTTGCGTATGCCTGGGTCATGGATGCAGACGACGAGGAACGATCACGTGGCGTCACTATGGACGTGGGTACGAGTCACTTTGAGACGGACACCAAGCATGTGACGCTGCTGGATGCACCAGGCCACCGGGATTTTATCCCAAAGATGATTGCAGGAGCTGCACAGGCAGATGTCGCCGTGTTGGTCGTACCAGCGGTGACTGGCGAATTCGAGGCTGCGTTCGAAAACTCTGGACAGACCAAGGAGCATACACTACTAGTGCGAAGTCTCGGTGTCTCACAGATGGTTGTGGCAGTCAACAAGATGGATATGGTCAACTGGGATAAGGAGCGCTTTGACAACATCGTCACGTCGCTCTCCATGTTCCTTCAGGGTGCGGGATTCCGTCCCAAAAACTTACGTTTCGTTCCTCTCAGTGGGATGACTGGTGCTAATTTAGAGAAGACGGGAGGAGTGAAGGAGTGCTCGTGGTATTCAGGGCCTTCACTTGTTGAGGCTATTGGTTAGTCGCAAGATATTGTGAATGTTTAACGTCTGTCTGACGTTGAATCTATGAATTGCAGACACCTTTGCTCCCCCTCAGCGCCAGATCTCGAAGCCGTTCCGGATGACCGTCTCAGACGTATCCAAGTCCATGAGTCTGGGTCAAACGATCTCTGGTCGCGTGTATGCTGGTGCCGCTGCGGTCGGCGACTCGGTAAGTTATTTTGCATGGAAGTTTTTTTACGCTGTAATTTATCCGAAATATTTTGCAGTTTCTGTTGATGCCCATCGGACTCACTCTGACAGTAAAAGGTGAGCAGTTAGAGCTTAGATTAACGCACATAGTTACAGTGCTCATCAATTGAATGACTAGGAATGGAGCAAGACGGCAAGTCGTGTACACTTGCTCGCGCTGGAGACACCATCGAGATGGGAGTCACCGGGATCGATCCGTCGGCATTGACGTAAGCTTGATCTTGTCCTGTATTTTATGCCACTCGATGTTAACTTGTATGTGTTTTACAGTACTGGCAGCATTCTGTGCTCCATCGCGTCGCCTGTGCAGCTCGCAAAGAAGTTCGAGGCTAAGATCATGACCATGCCGGCAGTGGAGGTGCCGCTGGTGAAGGGGACGTACGTGACGATCCACATGCACAATGTGGACGAACCCGTGAACATCACTCGGTTGGTGAGCATGCTGAGCAAGACTGGAGAGGTAGAGAAGAAGAAACCGCGTTGTATCACTCGGGAGCGCTCGGCCGTGGTGCAAATCACGTGTCACCGCAAGATCTGCCTCGAGGAGTTCGCAAACTACCGCCAGCTGGGACGCTTCACACTGCGCGATCGCGGCAAAACCCTGGCGGCTGGCATTATCACGCAGATCATCGCTTAGGTGTGGATAATCACCCTGCCTTAAACTGTCAAAGACACCATAGATACAGGATAAGATACAGGATAAGAGAGGTAACCTGTATTCGTTCCAAGTGATGGACACGTCGTCTACTCCTTGAGCTCGGCGAGTTCTCCGTCCTCCTGCAGCTGCTGCACGATGTCCAGTCCGCCGATCAGCTCGCCGTTGACGTAAAGCTGCGGGAACGTGGGCCAGTTGGAGTACTTCTTGAGTCCCTGACGCACACTGTCGTCCGTTAAGATGTCAAAGTAGTCGTACTTGAAGCCCTCAGCGTCCAGGATATCCACAAGCTTGCGGCTGAATCCACACTGCGGCTGCTGGGGCGTTCCCTTGATGAAGATCATGACGCGCGCGCGGTTGATCAGTTGCTCGTATTTGTTCTCCTTCTTGGTCTTCTTCTCCACTCCAAGCTGCTCACTGAGGTCTCCATCCTCCGCCATCTCGTTGAGGATATCCAGTCCACCAATGAGTTTGCCCTTAACGTACAGCTGTGGATATGTAGGCCAGTTGGAGAACTTCTTAAGACCTTGACGAACCTGCTCGTCACTCAAGATATCGAACGAACTGAAGGCGATCTGGTGGTCGCGTAGGAGTTTGACTGTCTTCTTGCTAAAACCACACTTGGGCTCCGACGGTGTGCCCTTCATGAAGAGTAGTACAGGAGCTGAGTTGACGAGTGCACGGAGACTCTCTTGGAAGGCAGCTTCAGCCTCTTCGACGTTCTTAGTGAGTCCCAGTTGCTCGACGATGGATCCCTCGGACTTCATCTCCTTGACGATGTCCAGACCGCCAATTAGCGAGCCGTTCACGTAAAGTTGCGGGTAAGTAGGCCAGTTGGAGAACTGCTTGAGTCCTTGGCGCACTTCGTCGTCATTCAGGATGTCAAAGGTGCCGAATTGGATCTTTTCCTCGTTCAAGAGAGCCACCATCTGGCGACTAAAGCCGCACTTGGGCTCCGTGGGGTTGCCCTTCATGAAGAGCATGACCGGTGACGCGCTGATGAGCTTCTTGAGGCGGTATTGGAGCGCGTCATCAAGCGGTTTGGGGGCTTCTTCGGCCGTGGACGTGGACGTGGAGCTGCTCTTGGCCACGCTCTTGCTTAGCACGTCCACGCGCTTGGCTAGTTCGGCCACATTGGCGCCCTCGAGTTTGTCCAGCACGGCACGGCCCTGGGCGATGACGAAGGTGGGCACTACGGCGATTTGGAAACGCTCCGAGAGTTCGGGAAGCTCCTCGGCCGCCACCTTGAGGAAGCGGATGCGCGGGTGCAGCGTCGCCAGTTGACGCACCACCACGTCCAGCTGCCCATTGGGGCGACAGGCCTCGTGGAATTCGGCCCAGAAGAAGCTCACGGACAGCGTCGACTCGCGCGCAGTCGCCTCGTCGAACTGTGCCGCGCTCTGGACGCTCACTACGCTGCCAGTCACTGCTGCCATTGTCACTTGGTGGCTCGAGAAGACTTTTGTAATAAGTCTTTTTTAAAATTGTAAAAAGCTCTCAAAATGAAGGCAACTACAGGCAATCCTCTTTGGAGTAGTATTCCAAATTGTTATACCGGTTCCCGCTACTTAAGGAGGTTGGAGAGGTCTCTTTGCTGACCGTCAGCTTACAAGCAAGTCAAAATTACCTCTAACCTCCAGATTGTACTTAGTGACGCGACTATCAGTATCAAGAGGTACTTAACTAAAGATAGTGTCCATTTGATGATCGGTGTTCGAATTAGTCCAGCAACGACACCTTTCGGCCCTGCTTCAACCCAATTTCTCTCGAAACGCGCTCCAGAGTCTGAAACCCGCCCATTGCTCGAAGCGGCACACTCACCTCGTCAGCATGAAGAAAGAGCGTGGTCATCTACTGTAATCGACATAGCAGGCCAGCAGTGTAGCCATAAGGATCCGGGTACCATTGTAATGGTACAACTCTAGATAGTGATTCCTCCGGATAGTACTAAAAGGTGGCAACCGACGGTATCACTACAAAGAGGATTGTCTGAATTTCAAAAAGAGATCAAAATCAAACCTAAAAAATGACTGTATGAGATCGATGTTAGATAAAAGCGGGAAAAATAACGCAAAAAACACTTTTTAAACTTTTTTTACAATAAAAATATGTGAGGGCCGTTCGTGAAAAGGTACCGCTGGAGTTATACCCGGCCAAGACGCAGAAAACTAACATGGTTAGAGCAGCAAGTGCAATGGTGGAACCTTATAATGGTGAAGATGAATTATGTATCTATAAAAATATGCAGTAGGTTTCCTGCCCAAGGTACCGGTGGTCCCCTGCTCCTTCCTTAACCACAAGCCATAGTGACAATAAGTATTATCCGACTAACGGTATCAAATACAAAATCGATACGCTACTACCAAACGTGCCTAGATAGTCCACTTTCTTTTAACTCTTTATACCTTAGCTATTTTAACTATATACACTTTCAAAAGGTGTAAAGGAGGTAACTCTAATTACTTTTTTGCTAAAAAGCAATTTTTTTTAAACAAAGCTAAGGTCCGTTCTCAACCGAAGCGTTTTTCGGACGCATGCGTGCTTAACAACCACTTTGCGATTTGATTGGCTGTGCAATCGGCCCATAGGCAGCACGTTTTGTTCGAGTTTTAGCCAATCAAAGACCTCCCCTAACCAAACAGTTTTACTCTCCCTTTAACCTCCAAGGTAGCAGTGTTTTACAGGAAAGATCGCAACAACAATGGCTCTGTATCCCCAAAGATCTCCAAGTGGACCTGAGCGAGAGAGACGATGCATCCCTGCTGCGCGCCAACGCCGCAGCCTGAGGTCCACCGATTTTTTTCGTACGGCTCCCACACAAGATGCCCCTCCGCGATTAAACCACTTTTACCAGCAGGGCGTCCCCGCCTTGTCGCTCAATCTGCGTGCTTTGACCATAGCCCTTTTCGTGGCATTCAACCCCACCACGAAAGGCATGGCGTACTTCAGCCTCGAATAAGATCGGTAGAGATGGCGACGGTGGCGAAAGACGTCCGAGCTCGTCAGCGAGATTCCTCGCTACGGGTGGAGAGAACTTCCAATGCAAAGAATCAGAACCCACCGAGGGAGCGACAGTTTGCTGAACCTGGGGAAGTGCATGCATCTGATGAGGAGGCTCCTGAGACGAGGGGATCCTGGTTTTCCATCGCCGCGCTCGTTAATTACCAGTAGTTTGGTAGCGGTTTAGCGCCAGGCTAGAACTGCTAGAACACTACATGACTAGCTATTATTCTGCCAATGATAGTCAAGTATTTTGAATTGCGATGTTTAGGGTACGCATGCAACGCATGCGTCCCTCTGACGCCTCGGTTGAGAACGGGCCTAAGAGATCTCAAACTGAATATATCATGGTTGAGCGAAGGTTGTTTAAGGATCGACGACAATTGCGCATGGCCCAATTAATGTTGGTGGGGCTGTCCACCAAGCTTTCAGCTGGCCTCCCAGGATAAAATTCAACGTTTTAGCCGATTCGACCGACATGTAGTAACCAAGTAACTAGTAACCAAATCCCTCGTAACAAAAAAATGTTTGTAATAATACAGTACCAAGATGAAAGGTAAACTCAAGAATCTGCTGGCAATCAGTCAAAACAAAAAAGTCCAGCAAAATATTTTACCGCCTCTGACAGTAACATAATTTGCTGGACTTACACTTTTCGTACTCATCTCAAGTTGTCTGCACTGTTATGCTTGATACGTAAGCGTGCATACCAGTAAGCTGAATTTACATAGCAACGCGTTGGATTTCTTCCCTCCCGTGTTCCATACTGCTCACTACGTTGTGGAAACGGTTTGGCTTTTATTTTGACAGCGTGAGACTGCTATGTTTTGTTTTGGCGTGCTAAAGAATCAGCCCACTTTCATACCAATGACGAGAGCCTAATACTGTAATAGCTCGTGTATTAACAATTGTTACCTAAATTTCGAGATTCTTAGGGCTGGAGGCACAACTCTATTTCATAAAAAAAGATAAGTTGGTATCGCAAAACTGCAGTCCAATTTTTCAATTTTTTCAAGACACTCCACTCGAAAGCTTTGCGTCAGGGGCATTAATGTAGTTTGTCCAGCACACATCGTAGAGTATCCCTGACGGAATAAGCTTGACTTGAGCCGCCCATACTCAATGATCAAGCTACGCCTTGGTCACATTGGATTCACACGGTTCACAATAGTACCATTTCAGAAAGCAAAGTGTAGAAGTGGATTCTAGAACCTAACCAATAACGAAATTTAGAACACCCTTCTTTTCATCGTTTGAGGATTAGCATTTTAGAGCATTTTCAAGCGCGAGTCCAGAATCTGGACTCCAGATATGTTCATCAGCCGGTGTCTATACTTTGTGGCGATAACGATGGACACTCCATGACTTCAATTACCCCCTGCCACAGCCTCGATAGTATGAGTTATTCGCGCAATTGGTGTCGATTCGAGGATTTTTGGGTCGAGTCATCTTGGCGTTCGCTTCGGCGCTGGCTTGGCCCACACAGAGCGCAATGGCGAGAATTGTAGCCTTGACGATCTTCATGCTGACTTCGTGCTTCAGTCTGGCGCTTTATGTGCTTCTTCGGTTGGGGCAGATGAAGAAATGAGCATTGACAAGTACGAAAAAACAATGTTTCGTGATGGGAAGGAGTTTATCCACCGAAATACGATTGAGATTGTACGTGGACTTGCGCCATGATTTTTCCCAGTCGCACCCACTACCACCTTATAACCTTGTATATTCGATAAGGTTAAATGCATCTGTGGCGCTAATCCCTTCAGTTCATCATCAAAGTCTCTATAATAATATTGATCAAGGACAATAACGAGGGAGAGTGCGGGTATTCTGCATGTATATGTTCTGTAGAAACCTCACTATACCTGTAATCATCTGCGGGGTCTCGGCATGCTCGTAATCAACTTCACCAGAACTCCAGTATTATAATGCCTAAGTGCATGTTGGTCTCGCAATTGCGCAGCAATTTGGGCACGTCGACTTCCTCCTCTAGTTGAAACAGATGAGGAAACACAGCCTGCATCGTCGCCGCTGAAATAGTGAACATGACAATATATATTCACTCTACACAAAACTCAACCTCCTACGTAACAAACAAAACAGGTTTTGAAACCTTAAAAAAAATGTTGCATGAACGTTGAGCTTACAAGCGTACAAGCTCGGATGGGATGCTCAAATTGCATCGAATGCAGTGTAGTCCTATCCTTGGCACACACGACTTTTCCACTCATGTAGCTGTGGTAGAGCCTGGCTTCTGTCCCCAATTGATGACTAGCTATAGCGTGAGATTAAATTTTTAAATGACGCCAATAAAACGTCTCCGACACATGTTGAAGCGGAACGCAGTCGATCTCGATATCTATTCATACGCAAACCTATTGGACAATTTGTTAATCGTAAAGTAAAAATAATGCTTTGAAGAACTGCAGTGAACGAAAATTAGTGCAAGTGTTATGATGAGGATCTTACCATAGAAAGGAACGCGTTAAATTTTACACAACATTTTTAAAGAAGAGATGAAGGACGCAGTCGTGAACATCCAGGCGATACCAGTGTATCCAAGATTTAGGCTTTTATTAAACTTAAAATCTTTACGAGGCTTGTGAACAGCCACGATATCAGTAACTGCTATCACTTGAATCGCTTGAGGAGGAGCTACAATGGACCGGTCAAGTCTCGCACAGCGACGAAAACAGATAAGAGAGAAGGAGAACGACATCAGCAAAACCAATTCTAGCGAGAAAGCAATTAAGAAGAACAAAATTGTCAAGGGAAAAGAAACAACGCGCAGCATCGCGAACAAAGACCCACCGAGCGCAACGACATTGCGAAAAGGTGAATATGAGCCGCAATCGGTAGTACCAAGTAACACCAATTCGCCTCAGGCGCCATTTCCATCGCCACTGAAAGGAAACTTTAGCTCAAAGCCAGTAAAAGTGACGACTGCTTACAATCCTGAGATCAATGCTGAGCTCGTGGTGCATAAGCTTCTACAGAGGTCGCAATTTCGTGATGTGGAGGAGTATCTTCAGTCGGTAACAAAACCTGATCTTTTCCAGCAAGCACTTGTGGTGGCAACACACGTTCAGGAGGTAAAGAAAGTCAACTGCATCACTGCTGGGAATGTAGCATGACTTAGAGTTCTTGTCGTATAGCTAAAGAAAAAACACGCGGAGGATTTGGAAACCCTTGATCAAGAGCTTGATCAGTATCAAGAAAAATATCGCTCTGTGACTAGTAATTTGGCTGAACGAAAGCAGATATACGAAGAGCAAGAGGTAACTGAAGAAACTACGGGATATTAACGATGACCTTGTAAAATCTCACATGAACGATCGGCGCGTGTGTGTGTGAATAGAAAGAAAAGACCGAACTTTGTGAGCGTTTGGAGCGTGCAAAAGAGGAGATTCAATCCCTCGTCAGCACGATTCGGTAGGGAGAAACGTTTGGGCATATAGAAAAATTGGTTAATAGCTAACCAATGAATTTAGTGAACACAAAAATAAGTTCAAGTCACTGGAGCAAACTAAGCAGGAACAAGTTCAAATAATCGAAGAAATGTCAGAAATCCGGAGACGACAAGAGGAGCAACTGAATGTGGTCGAAAAGGAGAATGAACAAGTTTTACGCTTTGCAAAGGAGCTTCAGGAACAGGTACAAAAAATTGGATGGTACCTGATTTAGACAAGACTATTTCGAATAACTAACCTTTTTTTATTACGATTCGTATTGTACACGTAGCATACCAAACTGCAAGCTCAAATGGTAGGAGATACACATTGTTGTTGGTGTCGGGTACATGTAGCATGTAGTTCTTACGTTTCGCAACGATATCCAACAGACGATGATTGAACGAGATTGCAAGAGATTTGAAGCCGAGCTGCAAGAAGAGCAAGAAACAAACTCTAAGTTGACGGTGAAAATTGAGCAGAAAGATCAAATGTACGTCACAAATTCATTCTAGCCCATTCGACTAGACATATTTGATTGTTTATCACCGCTATACAGCTTGGAGTGGATGTCGAGCGAGCTGGAAGACGCTCGAACCCAAATGTCGACGCTGCAAGGCCAAATTCAGGTGCGGGGGTTGCATTATCGTTTTCCCGAGTAAAGTATAAAGATTGTGAGACATTTTACTAGTTGGAGACGATCTCGAGACATTCTGTCACTCAAGAGCGCGATCGCCTACAGCAGCAGTATCAAATGGACCGACAAGACTGGAAATCTACTCAGGTACTACACATATCAATGCAGCCAGTACAACGATGCCTTGACTCACGGGGAAGTTGTCTGTAGGAGCACCGATACACGTTGGAGAAGAGAAAAGCAGACGAATTCCGGAAGATGGATCTCGAACTTCGACGCTTGTCACAGGCTCTTTCACGAATGCGAATTGAATGGGAAAGTGAGAAGTCCCAGCGGGAGAAATCGGAGGACAGGTTGCAGGAGCTAGAGATTTTCTTCGATGTATGTCATGTTGATACTGAACCACTCCATTATGAACTGCACGATGACGATTATTTTTATGGTGGCTAATGCAGGAGACTAAAGTACACACACAAGCGATGGAAGAAGAGGTTCAGCAATTGAAGGCGCAGCTCAACGGTGTGAAATGAGGGCACGATAACAGAGCTCATTATTTCTTACATTGTGTAATCTTTGCTGAGTACAGAGGAGAAAGAGGCTCGGACAAGCAAGGACCATGCTCTTCAGATTGCCCATCGGTGCTGAAATCTTTTTTATGTTTGTCGGTTAGCCGTTTAAATTGAAAGTGAGTGTTGCAGGGATCTTCAGGCGCTGCAGAAGAACTGCCAAGATCAAGAAAACGCGAAATTGGACGCTCAGAGTGAAGTGGCATCTCTCATTCAGCGGTACGTTAAGCTTTCCTTTTGAATCGTTGGGTGTGGTGGACATGACGAGTGACATCCGCACAGAATGAAGATAATTCGTCGCGATCATCTAGCGCTACTCCATCGCGTCGAAGCGCCAAGTCAATTAGGCGCACATAGGCACACCAAGATACAGACTAATGAGTTCGAATACTGAAGTACAGTACAAATTTGAATCATGTTAAACATGCATGTACATGTACCACGCGTCTCCATCCCAAGCAGAGTGGGTGCTTATCTTTGCATTTTCGAGGGTACAGTAGCCGCGTGTCCTTGTATTCTCGCCTACGACCAAAACCAACGGCTCGGAGGCGTATCTAGTAGATAATCTACCACGTAGAGATGGTTTTGGATTGGAAGAGTAAAGAACGTTTTAAATGTACTAAAAAGTTTTAAACAGTTTAGAAGTGTGCAAAAGTCCAAAACGCAGTGCACCAAGTATCTTTGAAAGCTGCCGCGAACCCATTGACGCCTTGACTAGACGCTTCATCATGGCGACATCTCAAGGCGCTGCGACCGACATTCCAGCGAACACATCGCCCATACCTCCTTCTCATGCACTGTGGGATGCTTCATCGCCACGACGGGCGATGCGTTCGCCCACCTCACGGAGATCTAATCGATCAAGTCGCTGCCTCGCCACAGTATCGGTTCGGTCGCGAGCTACGGAACCTCTCATTGATAATATGTTGTCTGGTGATTTAGTCAGTTTTGGATTTTGAACGGAATTTCGGTCATTTTCCGGAAGTGTTTTGGACTGTTTAGAAGTCGTCCAAAACCACCCCTACTACCACGTAGTGTTCGTCTGAATGCAGGCAGTCCCTTGTGGACGAGCATTGCAGTCTCGGCAGATCGTCAATCTGCGACGTGATATGCTGCCATCGTAACGGCGAAACGCAAGTCCTTTAGACCAATGGCAGCCCCGTTCGAGCCGCGTGCCGCCAGCGGCATAAACCGCTCGGCTAATGCGCATAAGCTGACTCGTCGCATTCGTTTGATTGGTTCAGAACCTGCACAAAAACTTCAGTTTTGGCAAGTGACGAGGCAGAAATGTCGGCGGTCTCATCTCGCATGCACACTGCCCTTGACAGAAATGGAATCCAAAGCCTCAAGTCGCTACGTGTACCTAGTGGCCTCGACTTGAGGTCATTGTTTTATTTACCTCGCACTCCTCACACCTATCAACACGTCTTGGTGATGGCTCCTCACGCTGCCGATCAAGCGTCTTCTTCGTCGCGGCGTGTATCGATGAGTTCTCTTCAATTGACACCGCGACTCAGCGCCTTGCCGTCGCCTGCTCAAACACCGCACACTGCGTACTTCCACATTGATGAGCCCGAAGTGGTGACGTCCAAGACGTACGATCTTCCTGTAGATCACAACCAGTTCGACCGAGCCACAAAGATCAAACCGAGCAGCATGTTGCGACCGCACATGCGCATCTTCTACCTGTCGTGGATGTCGGGCATTATGGGCTTCATCGGTTGGTACGCCATCCCGCCTCTCATGCCCGTGATCAAGACTCAACTAGGACTCACGGAAGGAGAAGTCCTCAACTCCGATATCGCTAGTACAGCCAGCACGATCTTCTCTCGGATAGCATCAGGCCCACTTCTCGACCGGTTCGGTCCTCAGGTAGTACAAAGCTCTGTACTGTGGTTTGGCGCTATCCCTATTGTCTGTGCCGCCTTCGTGAGCTCGGCAACGAGCTTGCTCATTGTCCGGTTCTTCATTGGTCTCGTGGGCTGCGTGTTCGTGTCCAGTCAGTACTGGACGACCATTACGTTTGCCCGTAACGTGGCTGGTACGGCCAACGCTATCACTGGTGGACTGGGTCTGTCTGGTATTGGCTTCGCCTTCCTGGTGCTGCCGTTCATATACGAGGCCATCACTTCAGGCGGACACGTGTCGGAGGATCTGGGCTGGCGGATCACCGTCGCGTTGCCGGCCGTGCTGATGATTATCATGGGCACAGTGATCCGCTTCGTTGTGGATAGCTGTCCGACTGGCGACTTCCAGGAGCTCATGAACACCAAACGTCAAGCAGAACAGAACGGCCGGGCAGCTCCAGCAAGGATAAGCATTAGCGGCAGCTCCAGCGTCCTCCCCATGGCGCAATCTGAGCAACAGAAGCCCATGACCATGCTTCAGTCGTTCAAGATTGTTCTGACGGACTTAAACGTCCTGGTTATGATTGCTCAGTACGCGGCGTGCTTCGGCACTGAGCTGCAGCTCAACAACATGGGCGCTCTGTACTTTTACACTCAGTTCACCAAGAACAACTGCACACCGACAGAGAGCAACCTCTGCTATCTACTGTCCAAGACCAATGCCGCTACAGTGGCGTCGTCCTTTGGACTAATGAACGTGTTCGCGCGCGCTCTAGGCGGCCTGGCGTCTGACGCAGTGAACCGTCGACTAGGCATGGGCGGCCGTAAGCGCGTACAGTTCACGTTACTGTGCGTACTGGGCGCGTTGGTGATCACACTGAGCCAACTGGATTCGCTAGGTGCTTGCATTGCGCTGTACGTGCTGGTCGCTATCGCCGCACAGGCAACAGGCGGATCCACGTACGGCATCGTACCGTACCTGAACGAACAGCACACGGGCACCGTCAACGGACTCGTCGGTGCCGGCGGCAATTTGGGCGGCGTGATCTACGGCGTTATTTTCCGTAGCACGGACGGATACAGCGCAGGTCTGCTGTACACAGGTATCATCATCCTGGGTTGTGCACTGCTCACACCACTGTTGAGGTTCCCCCATTTAGAGCAGGAGGAGCCCAACGCCCATCCATCGAGTGACGCTGGCGACGCGTCCAAGCGATCTCATAGCACCATGTACCTCGAAGACGAGCCGTACGAGTAAGATTCCGTAATACCATCGCATGTTAGAGCCACCTTTTTTTTTTTTTTTTTTTTTTTTTTACAAAACTGAAGTTGAAGTGTGAAGGGTAGATTAAAATGTGTAACGTGGCAAAACGAAGTGGTCACTCATCTTTCGGTCAATGTGCCGCCATGCGCATAATACACGCAGTCAACATGAAACTGTTGAAGCATATTGAAGCCAAGTGTAATTCTGGTGCGTGAGCAGAACGGTACGTGAGGCCACAGATCTACCGCCAGTTATTCTGAGTCATCCAAAATGGCAAGCCTATTCAGGTTGCCATTGTCTGTAGTCTTCGAAGACTACACTCGTTCACTTTGCTATTTCCATCGTACTTGCCGTTTCCACTTGCTAGCAATTAAATGGAGTCTTCCGCTGCGTCCCTATCGCTCGTCCCGCCATCGCGGTTATCGCTGAGCTCCCTCCAGTTAACCCCACGGGTTCGAGAGCTGTCATCCCGCCTACCATCTCCAAACGAATCTCCTCGTTGCGTGTTTGTGCAAGTGGATAAACACGAAGATGCTGCGCATACCATGCAATATGATCTTCCGGTGGACAGCAAACAGTTCGATCGAGCTACAAAGATCAAACCCACCAGTATGTTGCGACCGCACATGCGCATCTTCTATTTGTCGTGGATGTCCGCTATCACCGGTTTCTTCGGCTGGTACGCTATTCCGCCACTTATGCCGGTGATAAAGACGCAGCTTGGTCTTACCGACGGCGAAGTGCTAAACTCCGATATCGCCAGTACAGCGAGCACTATATTCTCACGAATTGCATCGGGTCCGTTGTTGGATCGGTTCGGTCCTCAGGCCGTGCAGAGTGCCGTGCTGTGGTTGGGGGCCATTCCGATCTTTTGTGCGGCGTTCGTAAACTCTGCAACAACGCTGCTTGCTGTGCGGTTCATCGTTGGACTCGTGGGCTGCGTGTTCGTCACAAGTCAGTACTGGACGACCATCACGTTTGCTCGCAATGTGGCCGGCGCGGCGAACGCTATTACCGGAGGACTGGGTCTGTCGGGTATCGGCTTTGCCTTCCTCCTGTTGCCGTTCGTGTTCGAGGCCATCACGTCCAGTGGACATGTATCTGAAGACTTAGGTTGGCGAATCACTATCGCTTTGCCGGCAGTGCTGATGATCGTCATGGGCGTAGTGATCCGCTTCGTGGTGGATAGTTGTCCAACGGGAGATTTCCAAGAACTCATGGCAAAGAAACGTCAAGCAGAACAAGCAGCCAACGGCGGATCCGTACAAGAGCAGAAGCTGCAGCATCCGAGTTTACTCGAGTCGTTTAAGATCGTGTTGTCCGATCCAAATGTGCTGATCATGATCGCACACTACGCCGCATGTTTCGGTACAGAGCTACAGTTGAACAACATGGGCGCGCTATACTTCAACAAGGAGTTCACACAGAAAGGATGTACCGATAGCGTGTTCTGTTCCGTGCTGTCCAAGACCAGTGCAGCAACCGTAGCTTCATCATTCGGTCTCATGAACTTGTTCGCGCGTGCGGTTGGAGGCCTCACGTCTGACGCGGTGAACCGTCGATTGGGTATGCGCGGCCGTCAGTACACGCAGTTTACGCTGCTCTGCATCCTCGGGGCGCTTGTGATGGCACTCAGTCGCTCATACTCTCTCGGGTTGTGCATCTCGCTCTACGTACTCGTGGCCATTGCTGCACAAGCTAGTGGAGGTTCGACGTACGGCATCGTCCCGTACTTGAACGAACATCACACAGGTACAGTCAACGGGTTAGTCGGTGCTGGAGGGAACATGGGAGGAGCTCTCTTCGGAGTCATCTTCCGTATCACGGGCTCGTACCACACCGGACTGTTCTACATGTCCATCTTCATCTTCTGCTGTGCACTGCTCACGCCACTGTTGAGATTATCACATCTTCACCATCACGGGAATGTAGCAGCTAACATCACTGATCAATCGCAACATGGACCCAGCACGAACACGGCACTCAAACCCTTCCTCGAAGACGAGTCGTCTGAACACACAGAATCACCAACGCTCCACCATAGAGCGCCTTAACCACACCAAAAATACATGTCCAGCTTACGTGATCTTTATTTGACCAAAATGAGCTATCTCACTTTTAATTTCTACATGATCTTGACTACCACTACGCCGTTAAAGCTGCAATGGTGTCTGATCCAAGTTGTGCAACTGAATCTTCGCAGGTTGCTCCCAGTCAAGAGCTAATGACAACAAACTCGTCAGTTCCTCCGCTTGTTCCTGCCAGCAATGCCTTAGTTTCGGCGTCAAGTCTTGTGCAGGTGGCACCGCTGCCTCTAACAACCGATTTCCACGCTGGTAAAGTGTTCGAGTTAGGAGCAGTGCCTCCAGTACCAACCCAAGAGCGCGAAGAAGCATACATCCCCGTGGCGCTAGCACGCGCTCAATTGAGTAAAGTGGTGGCCGACATGCACGCGATGAAAGCCGAACAAGTCCAGAAACTCAATGAGATTCTTGAGCACTATCGTAACATCGAGAAAGACACCAGAGAGCGACACGAAGCGCGTGTACGAGCGCTCAAAGACCGAGCCGAAGCGAAGCTGAAGGAGTCACGAGAGCTGCAGGCCCAACTAGAGAAAGCTGGCGCAGTTCGTGAAGAGCTCCATGCGAAGGAGAAACTGGCGCTTCTGGGTGAACAAGAGAAGCAGCGACTTCAACATCTCGAAACGCATGAAGTCTGGCGACGAGAGTTTGAGTGTGCATTACAAGCTCATGAAGATCAATTCGCTAGAGAACAAAAAGCGGCACTGGATGAGATCGCCCGCATCTCTCAAACTGCCAATTTCACTGGAGAAAGAGCTCAACAGCAGCTTCGCAACGAGCTCCAAATGTGTAGCGAAGACGCTCTCGGTCAAGCCACGCGCGTCGATGATCAGCTTCAAAACGCCCGGATACAAATAAAGAGTCAACACCAAGCCTTCCTGGGTCGCGAGATCAAACTTCGACAGCATTTTGCCGGACAATTGGAAGTCGAACGCTTCATCTACACACTTATTGACAGCATTGTCGATTGTAAGCAGCGAACTGATGAAACAAAACGAGCTGAAAGTCTTCAGACCAAGCTTCGTGATCTCGAAGCGAAGGCTAAGGCGGCCGGTTCTCGTGAAGAGATGTTGGAGCGACGTCTGAAAGATTCTCGAGAGCGATTTACAGTCATGGAGACTCAAGCAGTGCGAGAGACGGTCGACCTGCTCGTTCATGCTGTTGCTGTGACGATTGAAGGGGCTGGGAAAGCTATACCCGCTACTTCAGACGCTCCGACACAGACACAGGACGTCGAGAAGGAACCTAAAGAAAGTTTAGTGATAGAAGTCGACACTGAAGTTCCGACGCTTTTACTTGACAAGAACAAGTACGAAAGCAACGTCGAGGTGGCGCGAGAGCGTAATACCGCCCTTCTACGCTCCAAACAAGAACTGTATGAGGCGAAAGGGAAGCTTGAAGCTTTGACAAAGGCGAAGAAGGCAGTGAAAACTGAAGTCAAGACGTGGCTGGTTGCATTCCAGAGTCAGTTTGGAAGAGTGCCGACGATCGAGGACAAGGCACAAGTGAAGGACAAGTACCTGGCATTCAAAGAAGCTGAGAAAGCGTATAGCTCACAGAAGGCACTTGTGCAAACACTGGAGCAGAAACATCACGATTTGGCACTTCGAATTGACGCATCAAGTCGATGGTCAGCATTGGGATCTGCAGTAGCAAAATCTGCACGAACAGAACAAATCGGTGAGGAGAATGAGGACAACGAAGCAGAGTCAGCCAGTACCAGTGACCAGCATTCACGTCCGGCGTCGCAAGTAGCGTCACGTCCACTTTCGGCGTCCCTATCGACCCAGGACGTCGGTGTTGAAGCTATTGTATTGACCAAAGAAAGCGGTACTGATGCCACCTCTGCTGAATTTAAGGATGAAGCTGTGGCGACATTGGAGAAGGAATTGCAAGAGTTGCGGTCTCAGTTAGCGGTCGCCAGTGCTCCTAAACCAGCAATTCAAGATGAAGACAAGACTAGCAAGCACAAGGCTACTGTACCAGCAGCACCCACCGCTTTAGAAGCTTTAGTCCATGGTCTCGAGGAACCTCCAGCTCAAGAGTCAGAAGAGGATGATCGAAAGGTACAAGAAACCAAAGCTCGTGAACAAGAGCTTGGACTGCAACAACAACAGCGTCGAGTGCTTCAAGAAGAAATCGCTGGTTTATCACGAGAAATTGAGGAACGTCGAGTGGAGAAGACCCGACTGGAATCGGAGATTGAGCAGTTGCGACTGCACTTGGAACTCTCAGAAGCTCGTGACAATAACGTGTTCCCACCTAGTGAAGCAAAATATGACGGTGCTGATAGAATCACAGAAGGCCTCGAAGCTAATAGCGTCGATGAAATTGAGACAACAGAACAAGAGGAAAACTATGAAGAAGAAGAGTTCGAGCCTATTCCGTCTGAAGCAAAAGATGATGAAGATGAATCGATCGAACAAAACTTGGACGATGACAAAGATGAACCGGAGGAGGACGAATCTCAAGAAGTAAAGGAGGATGCTGCACGGTCTATTCAACTGGTTCAGATGATCATGGACGCAGTAACTCGCGGCAAAGCGCAGTTCAATCGTGGTGACAAAGCCAAATGCTATCAAACGTACGCTAAATGCGCCGAGAAATGCATCGCCGAGCTCCAGGCTCTTCACGACAAGCAGCGCCGTCAATTGGCTCCTGCACTCAAGCGCGTTATGGCTGAATCTGCGCGTCTGCCACCAGCACGAGGGCCTCAAGCACTTCGCAAACAACTCGATATCGTTCGTGACAACTGTGAAGAATGGCTCAACACTCGAGAAGAGCAGGCAGCGACTCGCCTGGCCGAACGAAATGCTCGTAAAGAAGCCAAAGCAGCAGCCGCAGCGATGAAAAAGCAGCAAATCCTCGAGAAAAAGCTGCAAAAACAAGTTGAAGAGAAGAGCGAAGAGAAGAAATACCACAAGAAAAAGACTCCTCCTTCTCAAAACGTCGTTCCTTCGGGAGGTGGTAAGGCGTTAGAAGATGCCAAACAGAAGCTGCGTGCACTTGAAGCAAAAGCGAAAGCTGATCGCGTTAAAATCTCGCAGCTTGAAGCTGCTCTAGCCAAAGCAGAGGCACAAGCGTCCAGTAGTAGCAGCAACACAGCAGGAAATGGCTCTGCAGCTTCAGATCGCCGCGTGGCAGACATGGAGAAGAAGCACAAGAAAGTTCTCGAAGACAACGAAAAAGTCGCGAAAAAGGAGATCACAGCACTAACACAACAGCTCCAAGCTGCTCAAAAGGCTTCACAGGACTTACAGGACCAAACTGCAGCTCTACAGAAGGAACTGGGCGTCGCTGGTGGCAAGGCCAAGCAATTGGGACAACTGGAACAGGAAGTGACTCAACTACGCGAACAAGCCGCTCTCGTAACGCCACTAAACAATGAACTACGCGACGCCAAGGCTCAGTACGCAACACTAGAGACGAGTTATCGTGAAGAACAGGCGCTACGCAAGAAATACTACAACCAGATCGAAGATATGAAAGGTAAAATTCGCGTATACGCTCGCTGTCGGCCCATGAGCGGCTCGGAGAACGATCGTGGATGCATCACTTGTGTAAAATTTGTCGACGAGTTCTCGCTCGAAGTGAGCGGAGGCAACCGAGCAGCCAAAACTTTCGCTTATGACCAGGTTTTTTCGCCAGCAAGTACGCAGAAACAGGTCTTCGAGGACACAAAAAATCTGCTTCAGAGCGCTGTGGATGGCTACAACGTGTGCATTTTCGCGTACGGACAGACCGGGTCGGGGAAGACATTTACTATGACTGGAAGCGAGAGCGATCCTGGACTGAGTCCTCGAGCTATTCATCATCTTTTTCAGTTAGCAGAGGAAGGGAAAGCCAACTTTACTGTGAGTTTCCAAGCCACGATGTTGGAGCTGTATAATGATTCGCTTATTGACTTGTTCCACCTCATGGAAGGTGGTGGTTCTCATGATAATAAGCTGGAGATTAAAAAGAACGAGAAGGGAATGGTGGTGGTGCAGAATGCCACACTCAAGAAATGTACGTCACCCGAACAAACGTTGAGGTTGTTTGAGGCTGCGAACAAGAAACGACAAGTGGGGGCGACCAAGATGAACGCTGAGAGTAGTCGCAGCCACTCCATCTTCTCGTTGCTAGTAGAGAGCTACAATAAAACCACCAAAGCTACGACTATCGGGAAGCTCAGTCTAGTGGATCTTGCAGGGTCGGAACGAGCAGGGAAAACGGGTGCCACGGCCGAGCGGCTCAAGGAGGCGCAAGCTATTAACAAGAGTCTCAGCGGTACGTCTTCCAGATTAACCCAGACTTATATGGTACACTTACATGTGAATCCTCTGTTTTTCAGCCCTGGGTGACGTGATCTCGGCGCTGTCGAACAACGAAAAGTTCATCCCGTACCGCAACAACAAGGTACAGCTCCGATGTAGAGATCCAAGATTGAAGATCATGGCCCTAACATTTTGACTGCAGTTGACACAGTTGATGCAGGACTCGCTCGGTGGCAATGCGAAGACAGTGAGTCCAAATAAAAAACAATACAGCAGTGGCTAGCTTTTGTCTAACCTGGTTGTTATGGCAGCTCATGTTTGTGAATATCTCGCCGGCCGACTACAACCAGGTACGGCTGTACATCTATCTTGGCTTTGTGGCTTGACAAGACGTTCGTTGCTCACGGTGTCCATTTTAATAGGAAGAGACCGTGACGTCGCTCACATACGCGTCACGGGTCAAGCTCATCACAAACAATGCCAACAAGAACTCCGAGAGCGAGCAAGTGAACCGGCTCAAGGCAATTATCAAGCAGCTCCGTGCCGGCAAGACCGACGTCGAACTAGATGGCGTCCTCGACTAAATTCTACATCAACACATACAGCCGCGTCATCACAAGCAGCAAAGCAAGGAAAAGCAACGCAGACTTGGTTTGGTGCTCTCAACAACTCGGTGTATCACATTTTATTCCAATTCAGAATAAAAAGGGAAGTCGGTCCTTAATCGGTTCGCCATGATTCGTCAAAACGCAGCAGAAGTTTGAAAAAATCGAAGAAAAACCACAGCCGCGAAATCCATTTCCACCCAAAAAAAGGTATCCATCGACCAAAAGTGGACCAAATCGCCACTTTTCCTGTTTCTTGGCTGTATGTTTCGTCCTCCTCCTGCCCCACTCGACGTCCACACGTTCTCCGCTTATCTGTTGGCCTTGGCCACACGCTCGATCTCGTCCTTCTTCTTAATAGCGTAACTGTTGGACGAGCCCTTGGAGGCGTTGATCAGCTCGTCAGCCAGGCACTCGGCGATGGTCTTGACGTTGCGGAACGAAGCCTCACGGGCGCCCGTGGCGATCAGGTACAGAGCCTGGTTGACACGACGGAAGGGCGACACATCCACGCCCTGGCGACGCACCACACCGGCCGAGCCGACGCGGGTCGAGTCCTCACGCGGGCCCGACTTGATGACAGCCTCCACGACCACCTGCAGGGGGTTCTTGTCCGTAAGCAGGTGGATGATCTCCAGCGTGTGCTTCACAATGCGCGTGGCCTTGAGCTTCTTGCCAGAGTTGCGGCCCTTGCGCATCAGAGCGTTCACAAGACGCTCCGTGATGGGGCACTGAGCCTTGCGGAAGCGCTTCTTCTGGTAGCGCTGAGCCGTGTGCGGCAGGAACGTGGCGGCCTTGCCCTTCACGGCGATGTAGTCCTCGAGGGAGATGTCCGCCGCGACGCTGATGTCATCGTACGACCTGTAATATGTCACCACGCCTGCATTAGACTCCGATTTAGGCGTGATTTTTGGCTAACTTGGCTGTTGTACTGTGACGCCTACAGAGCGCTTTATAGAGCCGCAGTTTTGTCTGCAGATCCCCCCGCGGTCGTGCGGTTACAACGCGCTAAAGTTAAGCTGTCATTCTCAGTTACCTACCACTTGTTAAAGAGCTTCACTTCAGTAGCAACTTCCGCCATGTTGAGAGAGTTTCCGAGGATGAAATCGAGCGAAGAGTGTGGCCAAAACGAACAAGGCGGCGCTCAAATGAATGGGTAGGAGGCTCTCCGCTTACCAAAATCAAGTCAAGTATACTGGACACTAGCTTAAACGCCCCCTACCCCGCGGCGGTCCGCGGTTCGGAACCGGTTCATAGACAAATTTCGTGTTTGATACAGAAATTTGCTCTTATATCGTATTTACTGTCATGTTTCTCCGATAAACGAACGCCTTCCATCATTCTCCAATGGCCGTGGAGAATCACGGCCATTGGAGAATGATGACCGAAAGACGTTGTTTTACCTCAAAGTAAGCTTAGGTGTGTTTCCAGCACACGGCACTGTGGGGTGGACTTGCATCGCTCGCAGTCCGAGTACGGCAAATAATGAAACAGACACGTGGAAATCAAGATCAATATGAGCAGTAGCAGAAGCAGAAGCTGGGCCTATACACCCAGGTGCTGAGCTAAGGTCATCCATAAGCAAGCAAGCAAACACAAATTGGTAAAGAGTGCAGTCCTGGCACGTCGCTGGAGGCAGAGAAGGCAGCCGCCTTACAGTTTCTTCGTATCTTTATCGGTTTGTCTTATAAAATGTGTTCGTCTACACATCCAGCACCACAAGAACGCTTTTAGCAGAGCCAGAACACAAGAACTCAATTCTTCGTTTGACGTTTTATTCCCCGCTAAAAGCGCTTAACATATCTCAACGAAAATCCACCTTGCCAACAGCTTTTTCACAATGCGTGTCTCTTCAGTTTCCTCCAAAACATTATCTCTGTGACACGCGAATTAATGAAATGGTACAGTGTACCACTATACTATTTTGAGGGTCGGAAGAAGACAGTGTCTATTCCTCATTGTTCAATACTCAAACGCTGTACAAGATGGGGGGAGGGCCTGCCAGCGCAGACGTCGTGCGCTCCTCTTGCTTCGTGACGTTCCCGGAGCAGACCCAAGCGGATCCTGTACCTGTAGACGCCTGGTACCTGTTCGCAGCCGGGATGACGTTTCTAAGGCGCCTAGCACGCGACCGTGTGGGCGACGAGATGCACATCGCACTGCTGTTACAGGTTCCTGGCGACGAGGACGGTGAGCGACGCTATGTGTCCGTAAGTAACAATACAGTACTGCAGCGCGCACTGCAGGAGACCTTCGACTGCCCAGATAAGGCGCTGGTGCTGCACGTGATCGACGTAGGGAAGGTGCGAGGTCAGAAGCGCATCCACGTGAGGCCCGAGGTGAACCCGAATGTGTCTCCAGAGCCAGTGGAGCCCATGGGACTCGTGTTCCCGACATTATCAGTGGACGGATTGGTGACACCTACAGCCGTGGAGGTTCCATCCGCACAGGTGACAAGCGAAAGTCTCTACGAACAGATGAGTCGGTCCATGTTTAACTACCGCAAGAACGACAGCGTGCGATGGAGCTCTGGAAACTTCGAGAAGCCTAAGAAGAGCTTGAGTCAGAGGGCGTTCTTCGTGGAAGAGAGAGATTACACCAGAAGAACTCCCAAGAGAGAGGAGAGCGAGCAAAGAGCAGGTGTTCCGGTCGCGGTCGAAGCTGTAAACGACCAGCTGCCGCCTGCTAAGCAGATTGAGAGCAGGAGAGTCGAGCAGGAGACACAAGATGAGGGTGATATCCCCGTGGCTACCGTCGTGGAGACAGACACCTCGCAGATTCCGAGCGACTACGTGATGCTGGAGCTTCAGACTGGTGCAGGACTGCCGGAAGCCCCCGCAAACACCAGCTCGACGTATTTTATCTCTTCGCGATGGGCAGAACAAGCTGATGAGATGAGTGCATCGATGCGGCTGGAGCGCCCTCCGATGCCATCAGCGCGGACGACTCCAGTTCGTGGTGCCAGCAGCGTCGGTAACATAAGCAATAATGCGAATCTCGAGGACTCGTTCGTGATGCTCGAGCGCCACGAGCTGTAAATGGAGCGAGGACACACAAGCAACACTCGTCGATGCTGGCAGCTCGATCTGGTGGGAAGATAGATAGCCATATTTTGCCATTTTGTAGACGAAACTGAGAATAAAAGTATTTATACTCTAACCAAGGTACCAAGGCTTTAGATCGTGAGTTGTATCAGGGTGAAACGAGAGGAAGACGAACAAATCTGGGCGCTTCACGATGATCAAGCTCACAGTGCACTAATGAAATGTAGCAACAACGCATACCGCTTCGATAAATTTGAAGAGAACAAAAATACGGATGACGAGCCTGCTCTCCGTTTCAACTCGTTTTATCTTTCAAATCCCAGTGGTGCTTCAGGTGTAGAGGGGCGTACACGCATTTATACCTCATGATTAGGAATTGGAGAGATTGAGAAGCGTGGTAAAGTGACCCTCTGTTTATGTGGTACTTAATAGCTATAGAGTCCTGGTATCGTTGGAGGCACTGCCTTGAAGTCATTTGGTATTGAGCAGTGGTGGTGTCGTGGTCGGATTGAACTAGTTTATCCTGTAGACGACTCCAGATCGAGGCAACCACTCACGACACTTACATTCTCGAATCCGAGATCAAAATTTCCCAGCTGGGAGATCAACATTCTTCGTCTGACGAGTTAGTTACCACCGCTAAATCTGCCATTTTCTGGACGAGTCTTCAATTGAACGTGCCGCTGTTCGTGTTCTGTTCAACTTAAAGGCCAGGCGAGTAACTAGTAAAAAATACAAGTATAGCTTAGATACAGCAAATTGCTTTTTCCCCATAAATGTATATCCGGGATAGTACTGCTCCGTCACAGCTTCAAACTACAGTTGACCGCGATATAAGGCTATTTGCTCTGTCTACTTCAACTCTAGACAAACAGATCCGGGGTTCGAGCCTGGATCGTGCACGGAAGTCCCGTACTCCGTTTACGATCGTCCGGGTCCTTGATGTTTGCAAGGTGCTGATAACCTCGGCGAGGTCAGCGAAGATGATCCTGGTACCTATGATTACTTGAAGTTGATAGTGGTGGCCCGCGGGTATTGGAATATGCATACCAGTAGAAATACCGTACAGCAAAAGCGCTCTGGGGTATTGCAATAAGTGTTGCTGCCTCATTGGGTATTGCCGTACATATCTTATAGGTCAGAGATCCTTTGAGTGTTTCTACTCAAGAATTTATGGTCTGTGAATTGGCTTCAAAACGGCCCGGCGCTGCCCCAAAGAACCGCGCATGGAAGTTTGAGTAGAACGCACAATGCCTTTACTTTTGTTAGACTAGTTGGTCTCGGCTGATTCAGCAACGTGCTGATCTGAGAGCATCGAGCATTCTTCTTATTAATAAATATGAAGAATTTTTATTGAAGATCAAGGGGAACGGCTTACTTTTGAGGAAACGAGGTTGACTTCTGAGTAAGGGCAAATCGAGGCAGACAAATGAGTACAGCGTTCACTTTTGATATGTAACGTATACACAATTTTTCTTTCCTGTTTGTTAAATATGCAGGCCTCCCCTGCAGATCCTATATCCTACTTCTTACTCGATATACACTTATAGTTTGATAGTTGTTGTCACATTCAACCCTAGGACGTACGCTCTGTTAACCGACTTGACCATCGGAGAGCTTAACCGACCTAACGAACACACCACCCCGTTCTGCCCAGGTTTCCACGACTCCTGCTCTCGTTTCTTCTTGTTCGTTTGCCCCCAAAACTTCTTGCGGCACATTCCAGTGAAGAGGGCGAGCAGAAAACCGCAGGAACACAGAAATCAAGTTGTCCACCGAGAAGAAATGCTGGCTGCTTTTTTCTTCATAAACTGCACCTCGACTTTTCTTCTGTGCGCCGGAAACTTTTCGTACAGGACCTTTTCGTACAGCACCTCCTGAGGAAGTAAAATAAATTGTCATCAGAGTCAGGCTAGAACGAATACGTGACTAAATAGAGCCCCTGATTATGTCATTTTTTTTAGATTTTTTTAAAAAATATTTTTAATTCTCAAATTTAAAAAAAAGAATTAGAAAAACCTCTTTAAAGATTAATATTTAAAAATTGAAAGTACTTTGAAGTCGGCATGAGTAGAAACGGGGCTTGTACCGTACTCAGAAGTTAGGACTTTACTCAGGAACTAGGAAAAGATGGGCCTTACTCAGAAGTTAGGAAAAGTTACTTACTAGTCAGTAGCATTCAGATCAAGGTGTAAGACATGGACCAAAACATGCCTGAACCCTTGGCTATTTGTCTACTGATGAGTGCAAAGCGTGGCTCGCAGAGAAGCTCAGTGTAGGGATCTATGCAAATTCTGTGCGCCCCAGGTTCGAGGCCCCCCGGTTTGATACCGCTGCCTTACATGGTAAATAGTTTGAGGCGTTTCGCACCTTGTTTTTACAAGTACTCATCGATTTCCGTACATAATAACGGAGTTCAACATGATGCGTCAATACTGTACGTACAGCACGCAACATATGTTTGTCGAACGCTTCTAAACAACAAAAATGTACGTCATCAGAAGTGAAACGCCCCTCTGTGATGTAGCAGAGGAAGCGTAGTACTTAGAAGTAAAATTGAAAAGTGAATTGTTTTCTTGTTAACTACTCTATTGTAGCTAAGCGTCAACACGGATGACCTTGTCGTGGTCGTGAACATGTACGTGAACATGTATGACCTCGACAAGTCCGTAAACGTAAAAGTAAACCTCGACTCGAGGCTCGAGGTCATACTAACGGAGTAATCCGTTACACCCTCTTTCCATGGCGAAGATCATTCCTCAATTCACCAGTAGCGAGTCTTTGTACTAAAACCGTCGTCCCAGTCATAACCATGCGTTTCAGCGTTGTT